ATTTGAAGTTACTCTCAAGTTTACCAATCTGGCAGTTCATCTAGCTCAAGTTCATCAGCAAGTTTCCATTTTACCAACCAGACAAGCCAAGTTAATGAAGACAATGAACCAGCAGTATCAACAGAAACTATTCAAGTCGACCAAACATCTACTCAGTCTTCAAGTCAAGAGGCTGTTTCAACTTCCAGCGCTTCCTCTGAAACAAAAAATCCAGTTACACAACCAGCTGTTGACACTTCTTCTTCCGAATCCTCTCATGCCTTTGACGAGATAACGCGTGTTTCTACTCCTCTGGAATCGATAACCGAAGCTGTGAATGAAGTTAATAATGAGTCTGATAGTACTGAAGCCTCTCAAATAACTTCAACTGGAAATGCTTCACATAATCACACTTTATACGTTGCTGTCAAAGTATCTTCAACTGAACCTATTGTCGCTTCGTCTGTCGCCAAAAAGGTTAAAACGGTGCTTTCTAGTTCCTCAAATTCAGCTGATGTTGTAGTTATCCCTGCAGCATAATGAAAGATAAATTTCAAACTCTATTTCTATCTTATCCAAATTTCCTTGCAGCTTTTTTAAATTCAATAAATAATTATTGAATTATAATTCTGTCCTCACTCGAAAAAATATATTGGTAAAAAATTAGAATTTCATCCAAAATAAGACTTTTTCATTAGAAGATTATTCTGTGATATGTAAATATTGTTGCTCGGGTTTTGTTCAGTTTGCATAAGTTCCTAAAACGGCCATTAGTCAATTCAATAATATAAAATTTTGTAAAAAATTTTAAGACTTTATAATCAAGTGGTAATTAAGATAAAAGTTTATCCGGCGTCTGTTAAAATATGTATTAGATACATTGATTTGCAACCAATGAAAAAGATAATAAAAGTAACACTTACCAGGTAATCATGATACCTAAAAATGCTATCTATACACCACCCAATTAAAAGTGTCATAAACATTTTGAAAAAGACCTAACGGTTTTCAACTGACTATTCACCGGTTCAAGCTTACCTTTGTTTTATTTTTATTGAAACTGTAAATCTTCAATCTAGTGAGCCAAAAATGGTTTCAAATATTAATGTCACCTCTTTTGTGGTCTTTCAACTGTGTTTCTCTTTGGTATCACTCACAGATAAATAGGTTGATGAATTGATAACAGCTTTAGGTCCCGGATAACAAACGTCGTTATTGTTCATTTGGTTTTTGTATTTTGCTGCATTTTTCATTGAAATTGCATGTGTAATTTTGGCGGAAACGGTAAGTCAAATCGGATAACTTTTGATAATCATTTCCACACTTGTATTTTTCATCTGAACGTTTGTAAATCACGCAGACATCACCTGAATTCCTAGATCGCCATTCTCAGACCAAAATCCACTTCCATTAGTAAAAAACAATTTTCTTTATCTTGTGTCTCTTTTCTCATCACTGGCAATGTAAACTTGACTTCATTGACAGTTTTCATCATTATCACAAAACTGTATTATAACATAGATACATCAATTGGGAACGTGATAGAAAAAAATAAAGACAGAGAGAGACAGAGAAATCAGAGGGAGTTGAAGCGCCTTGAACAAAAGTCTACTACACTAATTGTTAGTCATTATTTTAGCTAAATTCATGTTAATCAGTGCCTAGTGTTTAAAGTTGCATGCTACTGCCAATTATTTATTACTTCAACTGTTAATCTTAGTGTTTCACTTTTTTCAATCAACAGTGAAAATTGTTAAAGCTCATCTGTTGTGATTAAAGATGCTGCTTAGTGAACAAACGCGCCTAAAATATCTAGAAAAATTTGATCGACTCCTTGGAATAAATCGAGCCAAATTTCCTGGATTCAAACTAGTTTTTCGAGTCAATTTCGCTTTAACTGTTTTGCTTTCATTTTTCTTATCAACTTGGATTACATTTTACTTTGCGAGTGTCATATTGGGACTATTGTTTATGTTAATCATATTTTAATGGATACAATTATGGACTACAAACCATCAAAACAAGTAAAATGGATCTTGTTAAGATGGTTTAATATGGATAGTTATACTTTAGCCTTTTTTTTCAAAAACAGCGTCAACTTCTGGCCCTATTCTGGACGATGATGCCTTTGGATACGTCGGATATAAGTCGACTATAAGTACCAGTAAAATGAAAAATAGTGTAACACTATTGAATTTTATGGTAATTACATGTATAATACTTAAATATTTGAATATTTCTTACCTCAAGAAAAACTTGACATGAGGACAAATTGCTCTTATAAGTACAAAATGATGACACTAGAATTTGATTTAAGAATCAAAAATTTCTCTAACAGATCTCACCCTTCAACGAAGGTAAAAAGCAAATATTGATTTCCATGACATAATTATGTTTAATGATTAAAAACTAAACGATAACCCAATATTTACTTTAATAAAAACACAATGGTAATCATTTATTGAAATTTAAAATTCAACCTGAAATCTATTTCTTTATTTTCAATTTTACACTTCGTTTGTAAATTGTTTTGCGTTTACTGTTATTTCTTGAACTAGTCAACTGTTGAAAGAAGTAGACTTTCAGTTATGTCTATTTTATAGATATTCATCTATTTTTTAAAACACATTATGAAGTACTCGAATGTAGCTTCTAACATCACTTTGGACAGATCTTCTGTATTCAAGATGACTGCAAGCTCTTGTCTGACTTTGTTCATCAAAGAAACATGTTTATCAGGATAAGCGTCGCGAAATTTAATTGCTGGTCCAAGAGAGTTAATCAAGTCAATAATATATGTACCAGGGCGTCTTAGTGTCACATCAAATGTATCTTCATAACAGAGCCTATCATATGGTAATTTGATATTACGATACTTGGCCATCAATTGGTCGGTATAAACAATGTAATCAAAGCCATGGTCACGCCAAATCCGCTTAGTGGCCTCAATCAGATCCCCGATTGCATCAAGATTAGCATTTGGATCGTCAACTCGAATGAGTTTCTTCGGGATTTGATAATAGCCAAGAGTTACAAATAACCCGCCTGGGACTAAAAGGGCATCAACTTTAGCTAGAAAAGCTTCAATATTGAAAAAGTGAAGAGCCTGACAGACAGTAACCAACTGGACAGAGCCATCTTCCAATGGTATCTCCTCTCCTGAATTGACCTTATCATAAAAAACAAAATTATGCATTTAATTTAGTTTATATTAAAAAACAAAAATTCAATCAAATGTAATTAGTTAGTTAAATATTAAATGTTTGTTTACTCACCTTGAACGTGACATTGTTAAATTTATTGCGTCGCTTTGCTTCGTCAATTTGTGTTTCACTGATATCAAAACCAAAAACTTGATCAAAATAGTCGGCCAGTAAAAAGGTGGCTTGACCAGATCCACAACCAACATCAACGGCTCGATTCCATTTATTATTAGTGGGTAAACATGATTTTGAAAGTTGATTTATAATCGATTTAACAAGCTTCTCTGGAGGCGTTGGACGAGTTTCAGCATAAATAGATGAGATGAGACTTCAGTTGAATCGTAGAGTTCAGACATAATTGTTACAGCTTTTGAAATTGCAATACAAATTTTAGCAAAATTGATTACGTAGATACTCTGTTACGTAGAATTGCTTTTACTAGATTAAATGGATGCAATTAGATTTAAAAAATAAGGTTGCATTAATTGGGCTCTGTTATTAACAGATGTACATTTGAGGTTTCAATAACTCTCAACTTGAACGCAGCATGAAATTAAAGAGGATTGATAATTTGATAAACAAGAGATTGTTTGATGAATAGATTGAGGCGATTAAACTAGTCTAGCAACCTGTGAGAAAAATACCTTCTCAGCTCGAATGATATTTTCACTTGTCACCAACGATTAAAGAATAATCATTAAAACAATCTGTTGTAATATCGATAAAAGATATGATCTGATCTATGTTGATTCTGTATATTCTGATAATTTTGATCATCAAGATAATGGCGCTTGAGGTATCTTGATTGATCTTGATTTACCCAATCTAATGATGCTATGCATTTGGATTGGATGGGCTAAAATTTGACAGCGAGTTTTCCCATTAAATTGATTAATCAATCATCAATTGTTTTAAAAAGAAACAATTGCTTCTATTTGTTTTTAAGGGACATAACCAGCTAACGCATCATTAATTGTAGGGAAAATGAAATCTGAAAATAAATTTCTACATACCTCTGGTACTCAACTGTAGCCACAAATTTTCTAGTAAGTTGGTTTTAATTAATAAGGTGCTAGCAATAAACAATGTAAGTCTTTGAAACAATATTTGGCATAATTATTCTGATCAAGTCAATTCTCAATCTCCTTTTCAGTTTATGTATATGAGTCTCCAATTCAATGCGCCAGATGAATTTTTTAACGTTTTTTGGGATACTTTTCCTTTCAGTGTTTGCTTTTAATTTTCATTTCACTACGGCTGATCCAGATGATACTGTTGATGCTGCAGAGATTATTGAATCTCGAGGATTTAAAAGTGAGGTTCACACCATTGTTACCCAAGATGGTTACATTTTAACCAATTTTAGGATTGTACATCCATTGAGTAAAAATATCAACTCTAAACCGATTCTCCTTCAAAGTGGTCTCTTTGGATCAGGCGATGATTTCATTGTCACTTCACCTAATGGGTTTCTTGACGAATCCATGATTAACTTACGGGACTCTCCTGAATCTATCGATTATAAAAGACAAGGAAGTAATTTAGGATTTCTGCTGGCAAATCTTGGCTATGATGTTTGGCTAACCAATTTCAGGGGTAATTATTATTCTCGTAATCACACAAAATTTGATCCCGATTCATCAGGTAAGCCATGAGAACAAGTAATTAGTGAATAAAAAAATATGACCAATTTACCTAAGAAGCAAAGAAACATTAAAGTTTAATAAAACGTCCTAAACAGAATTTTGGTCAACTAATTTTGATGAAATGGCAACAATTGACTTACCAACCATTATTGATTATGTTTTAGACGAAACCAAAAAAGGTAAACTGACATTTTCTCAATTTTCGTTGCTTTGATCGTTCCAGTGTTTAGATTTTGATGAAGCCACTAACACATGGTGTTTAGATGTAAATTAAAACACAAAAATAAAAATAAGTTAATTAGTCCAATTACAAGAAAAGATTTGACAAGAAATGGTCAATCGATTTAACCAGTCGCCATCTTACGTAAAAAAGTGTCAATGAAAAGAGCTTGTTTCTTTAATCAACTGTAATTTATAATAACGTGAAAGCTTTAGAGATGGCGCCAAAAATTGCAACTTGCATTAGTTGATATTTTTTGTAGATTAACATTAAATTAATTTGATAATTAATTCTGTTCTAATTAATTTTACTGTTAAAATGCTATTTTTTTCTTGCTCTTTTAATTTCTTCAGAGACTGTGGGCTACATTGGTGTATCTCGTGGTGGAACAACAATGTTTGCTCTTTTGTCAGATAAACCCGAATATGCTGATAAAGTAAAACCCTTTATTGCCTTGGCTCCAGCTGTGTTTATTGGAAGATCTTACCCAAGATGGGTACGTCCATTCATTGAGAACAATTTTCTAACTTCTTTGCTACTCGATCACCCATCTGAATGTCTTCCGCGTCGAATTTCAAAGCGACTCAGATCTTGGACGAAAATTCCCATGGTTAATGCAATCTTCGCTATGATTAAGCCATCTTTAAACCTGATTTTCAGAGTAAATGAGTCTCGAGCTGAGGTGTATTTGTCTCATTATCCTGCTGGTGCACCTTGTTGGGACATCGTTCATTATGGACAGTTTGCATCGAATGGATTTCGAAAGCTAGATTTTGGTGAAAAACTAAATCTAGTAAAATATGGAACCTCCGAGCCGCCTGAATATCATTTGGGGAAAATCAGGTCCAATGATATAGTTATAATTAATTCTGTTGGTGACAGAATTGTGCATCCCGACAATATTGTCAAATTGGTTAACAATCTTAATGGTGAGTAAATATATCACTGTTTTATTTCTTGATCGTAAACTTTCATAAAACAACTCATCTAATTTTTCCTTTCCTTTTTTTCTTTTTCTCTATATTCGTGCTTTATTTAGTTAAACCAAAGAAATGGATTGTAATTAACCAAACAGACTTTCGGCACGGTAATTTCGTACATTCTGATGGTACTCATGTAAATTTTTTTTCGTACATTTTTCAGATTCTAGCTGGTTATTAAGCTTACGTTGCTGCTTCAAAATTTAATGCGATTTTTATTATCAGCTTGGTTAATGACATTTTAATAATATTGACCCTTTTGGTTTCATATTTTCCTTTGTCGTAAAATTAAAAGCTGTCGATATCAACTTGATAAATGGTCTCGTCTCAATTTTCCGAGAATTGTCTTTTGTAATGTTACAATTACAAATGTATTAAATAATACCATGTCAATCAGGATAATTACTTGCCATTAAAACATCTTTTTATGTTTTCTTCGATAGTCAAACTTATTCCTTCTTGATTAATGGACACTTGAAACCTCTAGCTCAATCAACTGAAACTTTATGCTACAATTTAAGCAAGGCTTTCAAGTTAAAAGCTTTGAAGTTGCTATTATAATATTATAATTCAAAACCATTATTTGAAGCAGATTTTGTCTAATTTTTATTTCAACATGTCCATCTTTAGATTATAATGTTGAAACGGGAAAATGGAATGATTCCTCATTTTAACAAAGATTGATCACCAGCAAAAGAATGATTAAAATAAACAACAGAAAGCAAAAGAGGTTAACCCTTTACCAGGATAATTATCCAATGACCAAACAATTTGATTGAATATGAACAAGCAAACAAGCAAACAAAAAGCACCCCGCAACTAAATGACAATTAAACAACGATACAATCACTAATATCAACACTAAACAATAAGAAATAATAAAAGCTGAACTTGTTGAGAATCCATGCAATTATTCTGGTTTCTTATTCCTCCTCCTCTTCCTAGTTTTCATCCAACCCTTCCTACAGGGTGTAATCACAGTTTAATCTAGAGCAACAAACTTCAACCAGAGAGCAAAAAATTACAGCCAAACCTTTGTGATTCACAAAGCAGACTTTTTGGTTTTTTTTCCTAACTTCTGGTCATTTGAGTTTCAACCAAAAAAGACTGAATAAAGGGATTTAATTCAAGATTGGACAAAATTTTCAAGTCTCAATCAAAAATTAAGCTTTGCATCATTAATTAAATCTATGTATTGACCAATAAAATGCAATAAAATATCAAAAGATGAATCTATTTAAATTAGACAGATTATTGACTCCGATTTATTGTATTGTAATAACAATAGGAAACCCTTTTATGATATCATGAAATGAGGAGAAATAAAAATCTCATCATTTAAGTATGAATATAGAGTTTGAATGTGCATCAAAATACCATGATAATTTGTTAACCATAACCTTAACCATATAAAATGCCAGTGACAATCAATTTAACAAGACCCATATTCCCGTATCTAGATGTTATCAAGCTTTTAAGAGAAACCTTTTGTTAGATATTTTTGCACTCCTTATAATTATCATTAGACTGTAAAAAAACTGGTAAATACAACAAACATAACTAAGATTGAACTTAATTTAACATGTTAAATATGATTATACACATGAATGTATTGGGCGAGAAAAGTAGCTCTGAATTGAGACTGAAAATGAGCAAAAAGGATAAGTAAATAGTGATGAAGAGGTTTCCTATTGTTCAATGGATTCCTCCAGTTACTAAGTGTATACTTTTGCCTTGTCTTGTTTCTTACTCCAGATCAAACTGTGCATATACAGTGTACATTTAAGGGAAGGAAGAAAAAATAGGAAGATAAAGATGATGATAATGATGAATGAGGAAACTAGGCGAGTTAAAATTCATGTCTATTGATTCTCAACAAGTTGAGTATTCATTGGTGAAGTTGTGCTTTTAGTTGAACCTTGTCATTTAAGCTTCTGCACATTAATTCAAAAATGTTAAACTATTTTCACTCATCAATATGAATAATATTGTCATATTTATGATTTATTACTGTGCAATGGCCAAGATTGAAGTTAAAGGATTACTTTTTTGTGTTCCCTTGATGGTTCTGCATTTACTTGTGATCCACAGTTTAAGGTGCAATGGTGAACAGTTTATCCTTGGTTATATCACCGGCAGTCGACGTCGACCAGGCGATGAAAAATATCCAAGACCAGGAATCACAATTTCAGGTGCAATCAGTCTGGCAATCAATGATATTGCCAATTCTCACCCTCTGGTCAACAATCATTCCCTTGAGTTCGTTGTCGCTGAAACCTTTGGTGAAGAGTCGGAAAGTATCAGGCAAACGGCAACACTTTGGGCTCAGGTTAATGTTACAGCTTACATCGGGCCACAAGAGTCGTGTGTTCATGAAGCTCGGATGGCTGCTTCCTTCAACTTACCTATGATATCGTACGTAAGTATTGTCAATAATAAAAGCATTTCCAATCCAAAGAGACTTTCATCTCAACAGTGATTTTAAGTTTGTGTCTTTTCCTCAACTGTGATCTCAGCCTCGATTTCTTGGAGTAATCAATATTATTAATTACCTATTATTATGTTACAATTATCAAATTAGGATGATTTGAATTTAATGTTATTACTTTTTAATTCCTTAACTCCAACTACTTCTTTCCACTTTACAATATTTGTGAGAATGCCTGATTTAATTGATGAAATTTGAAGACTTATTTTGTTCTAGTTATGATCGAGAGCAAACAGAATGACCTAAAATTTTCTAGAATATAATAGCAAAATGAATCTTGAAATCGAGAACAAAACAAAGAACAAGAACAGAGCAAATCAGGATATCGAGTGGTCAAACAATTTGGCCATTTAATTACTTTGGTTACCAAGAAAAAGGTTCAATAAAAGCATCAATATGAATAGACAAAAGCAAAAATCAGATCCCAATCAGAAGCCAAATCAATCTTTTCAAATTAGCTACACATTTGCTTTTAAATTTAGTTTCGATCATAAAATTTGAAAATATAAATATTTTATATCATTTGTATTCAACTTTCAACAAATACATTGGGAAACTTTTAAGCTGCTTTTCTTTCAGTTGAAATTGGATATTCAACGAATTGACTGAGAATATATAAACTTGAAGAAGAGAAATGATTTAATTTGATTTAAAAGTTAATCGAAAGAAGTAAATAGTTGACTTTTTACTTTTGACTTCAAAGCGATCGAAGTAAACTCGAATTGCATTTAAAGACTCATTTGTTTACAGTTTTGTACTCATCCAGGTACTTCAGACAAACAGTTGTTTCCAACCTTTGCTCGTACTCGACCACCTGATACTCAAATATCCAAATCAGTGGCTTCTGTTTTATTGAAGTTCAAATGGTCCAAAGTTGCTCTTCTTTACTCTCAAAGTGAAAGCTCAGAACGAGACTTTGAAGCAGTTGCCAGAACAATCCAGTCCACTTTGACCGCCAACCGGATTGAGGTTCGCTTTATAAGTCGATGGACAACAACTTACCATTATGGTTACACTGACAATCCATTTAATGATCTTGTCGAGAGGTCTTATCGTCAAACTAGAAGTGAGTAAACAAAGCAATTTGCATCTGAACATTTTATGTACTTTATTAAAAACAAAACGGTAACTTTGACCAGAAACTGGATCGTTTTCAACTTGATTTGAAGATGTTATTGCTGCAAATAACATAATAAGCACATTTGTTGCATTTGTGCATCAAGCTTGTACACGAATGAGCAAAAACGAGGTAAAAATTGATTTCTTACAGGTTCCGACTCTTTAAGTTTGTAAAGACATAAAAACTGAATTCATTAGCGTGATTTAAAGGTTTCTCCGATTGTCAGTTTTCGAAAAAATCGAGTTCAAAGTTTGAACTTCGATCGCATTTTGTACAATAATGAAAGCAGATTTTATCATAAAACTCATCATAACTTATGTGAATTTTTATGAGCAACCAGAAAATGTAATTATATTGAGAAATTAAAGTTTATTTTTTCTCTAAAACAGATCAGTTCGATTTTAAGTAAATCCGATCTATCTCTGTAACCATATGATTTAGAGATCTGAAACTTATGATAACCTCATTAAAAGCAATTTCACACATTATGCAATGAATACTTTTTTCAATCTAGCAATAATTCTCTTGCTATTGGCCGTTGACCTGAAAACTTTGAACCTCGATATTTCGAAAAGGATAGTACCTACAGTGATCATTCTTTGACCTAGCATTAGGATTTATTATGGGCTAAAATAAAATATATCTTAATTTATTTAATAACGAATATCCTTCTAACAAATATGATTTGTGTTTGAGTAACCATTCGACTTTAACAATAAAGTCTCGCATCTGATAACATAAGTAATGCATGATATAACTTTTTTCGTAGTGTCTTGAATAATTTTATATTTACAGCATTATAGCCCATGATAGCACCTAATGATAAGTCAAAGAATGATCACTGTGGGTACTACCATTCTCGAAATATCGAGGTTCAAAGTTTTCAGGTCAACGGCCAATATCAAGAGAACTATCGATAGATTGAAAAAAGTAAGCAATGCATGAGGTGAAGAATTGATTTTGCTGGACTAATCTTAAGTTTCAGATCTCTAACTCACATAGTTCCAAAAATAGATCGGTTTAACTTAAAATCGAACTGATCTGTTTTACAGAAAAATTGAAATAAAATTGCTCAAAATAATTACATTTTCTGGTTGCTCACAAAAATTTACATAAGTTACAATGAATTTAATGAAAAAATCTGCTTCAATAGCTGAACAAAAGCCGATCGAAGTTTCAAGTTTGATCTCGATTTTCTCGAAAACTATCAATCGGAGGAATTGTTTGATAGGGCCAATAGACTGGGTTTTCATGTCTCTACAAACCCTTATTAGTCTCAGCTCTCAACTCAAATGTTCGAGCATTTCGCATCACTCTTTGCTTTTCATTTACAAACTTAACCAGAAAATTGTTTAATTTACCAAGAAATGGGTTTAAATGAGTTTAGCTTGTTAAATAAGTTGTTTCTAGTCCATTTACAACCCAAATATCGACACCCAAACCCTCTAATGGCAATTTATTGAATTGAATGGTATTAGCAATTAGTGAATGAGCAAATTGGTCAAAGAATAAAGGTTGTAGGTGATGCCAATCGCGAAATATCGAGGTCTAAAGTTTTTAGGTTAATGTACAAAATGAAGAGAACTGTCGATAAATTGAAAAAATAATTCTATCTGTGATGTTTAACCTTAATTTTTGTAAACGAACAATAAGTTTCAGTTCTTTAGCTCATATAGTCACAGAGATAGATCGGTTTAACTTAAAATCGAACTGATCTGTTTTACAGAAAAAATAAACTTTAATTTCTAAATATAATTACATTTTCTGATTGCTCATAAAAATTCACATAAGTTATGATGAGTTTTAAGATAAAATCTGCTTTCATTATTGTACAAAATGCGATCGAAGTTTAAACTTTGAACTCGATTTTTTCGAAAACTGACAATCGGAGAAACCTTTAAATCACGCTAATGAATTCAGTTTTTATGTCTTTACAAACTTAAAGAGTCGGAACCTGTAAGAAATCAATTTTTACCTCGTTTTTGCTCATTCGCTCAAGCTTGATGCACAAATGCAACAATTGTGCTAATTGTCTTTTTAGTAACAACCATTTGAGAAAACCTTAAATTGCTGCTAAAGTTTCATCAAACTAAACTAAGCTGCTAAGTTTAGGTTCAGCTAAAATTCTTAGGTGTTCTCTGGCAGATTCATTTTGAAAAAAGAACCCAATTTTACGCTGAAATTAGGTTTGTTACAAAGCTCTATGAAACGATAGTTTTTGATTGATGGCCCGATATATGATTTAACGAAAATGCATTTCAATTGATAAACTTTGCTTTTTGTAAAGTAACAAATTACGAGAGCGTGTCAACTGTTTTTAATAATTAAAGATATTATCTTGAAACAAACTGTTCTAGCGATTTCGAGGCAAAAATGTTGAATTATTGAATAGTTTTCAAAGAAATCTAATAAATTGAAGGCTCTTTATTTTCATAATCATAAATATTAGAAACGTTGAAAAATTTTAGCAAAAAATTTTAATGAAAATACAGAAACTCTTCGACTATTGAAAACATGGTTTACAGAATTTGCTTTTTCTTTGACATTCATATTGATTTACTAACATTTCAAGGGTTTTTGAAATATTTTTAACTCATTTTTGGTCTGTTTATTGGGCTAGTCTATGTAGTTGTGGGCCATTATTTTGAACATCTTGGTTTCATGTTGAGTCTTGAAGAGAAAGGCTTACTCCAAAGTGGACAATACTTTGTGGTTGGAGTGGATGTTGAACATTACAATAGCCAAGAGCCGCAAATATACTTTAAAGGTAAGTCAAAACATTTATTTCAAATATCCAAGTTTCATTCAAACAAACACAATTCAAATATCCAAGTTTCATTCAATAAAACATAAAAGATGATTTTTGATTGTCAATCCAAATCTACTTTAAGGGCACTAATTGTTCAGGATTGTTATTATAATATTACAACTTGGATATCGAAGGGAAAAATTGTCTTTTTTGACCTAGTGACGCAAAAACGGAAATAATGAAAGTCACGAATTTGGTGATTTGTTAATTTGTTCATTTTATTCTGATAGGATTATTAAAGGATCAAATTAATCAAGTTGCTCAAAAAAGTTTCCAGTCTTATATTGGCGTCGTCTCATCACCTTATACTGGATCTGAATCATTTTCATTGAAAGTTAATCGTTACCTGCAAATGCCTCCATTTAATATACCAAATCCTTTGGGTTCCTTTGGTGGTCTTAAAAGGGTAAGTTTTATTCAGATTGTTGCCATTTGTGATTAAAATTAAACCAAGTTTACTTAAGATGATCAAGTGACCAGACTGCAGAGGATAGTTGAGTGGACAGATTAATGGCTGATATGGTAATTCAAATAGTGAAGTGACCCACAGACAAATAACATTTCACATCTCAATTGTTTGGCATGTCAAGAAATTCAATGCATTTTAATATTGCTACAGTCAATTGACTGTTTCATCTATTCATACAACATTTCAGAGATGCTTTTAGTGCATTATTTTCACATAATTCATTGACCCTATCAATTTGAGATTTGAACAGCAAAAATTTATCCTTTATTCACTTCAAAATTTCATTTTTCTTCATGAGTAGGAAACAGCAATGAAATATTAGACAGATATTCTGAATATTAAATTTCCATCCTTCTAATCAAACGGCGTTAATTATCAATCTGGTTTGTCTTTTCTTTTTGGCTTCAATTTTGGTTCTTTCAGGTTCCAGCGGACGCTGCTTATCTCTACGATGCTGTCTTTATTTATGCCAGAGCATTGAATGATTGTTTAATTAATGGTGTGAATCCTCGTGATGGTAAACTATTACTTCAATATATCCGTAACCGTCCTTATCAAAGTAAGTTTAAATTAGTGGATAATCAAAGAATGACTTATTCCATTTGGATTGAAATTTAGGTGCCATGGGTTATCTGGTTTATATGGATCAAAATGGTGATGCAGAAGGAAATTATACTTTGATTGCCAGGAAAAAGCGTGATGATAAATATGGCCTTTATCCTATTGGAGTTTTTCAAATGCCTGCTAACTCGAGCGATTTACCGGTAATTACTTTCACCGGCTTCACAATCAATATCAATTGTGCAAAAATAGAAGATAATATTCTTATTTCCATTTGATTTTCTTGTAAAGTCTCTTAATCTAGTTGATTCAGTTGAATGGATAACTGATGATCCTCCTTCAGATGAACCTCATTGTGGCTTTGATGGTGACAAATGTAAAGGTAACAATCGATAGTTAACCAATTAATCATGGATTTGACATCATTGATTAACAACTCTAGTCTGTAAACAAAAGTTCAATGCTGCAGGTTAATCAGTCTGTTGCTAATTTTTTTCCGACTTTTCTTTGTCTACTTTGGTTCATTCAACTGGTTTGTTAGAGCCATCATTGGAATGGTTATTTGCTTTGATCGCAAGTATTATTGCTGTAATGGCAATTCTAATGATGATTGGTTATCGAGCATGGATTTATGAACAAGAATTGGATAGCTTATTATGGAGAGTTGATTTTAAAGATGTTATTGTCCGAGAAATCGGTCCGCCCACAAAATTATCAAAGGTATGATTAAATAAATTAAATTATTCGCCAAATATGGAATTAATAATTGCTGTTGATTATTATTCACTTCCAGTTTAGGTACAGTTCCCAAGTATCACTCAATTCAGCCAGTGACATCCTCGAATTTCGCTATTGCCATTTGTATACTCAAGTAGCCTTTTATAAAGGACGATTAGTGGCACTGAAGAGGATAAACAAGAAAAATATTGTCATTAACCGAGAGTTAAAGATTGAAATGAAACAGGTAAACGCAATTTTCAATATAATCTTACCTTAATTGACATCCATTGTGAATTATAATTACATCTCAAACATTTGATAATAATAGATGAAGGACATTAGACATGATAATCTAAATCAATTCATTGGTGCTTGTGTCGATGCACCAAATATCTCAATTTTAACTGATTACTGTGCTCGTGGAAGCCTTAAGGTATGTTTAACTGGATAATTGTTGACACGAAATTTTGATAACTTCTCAATTAATTTAATTGATCGATATTGATCTTGTTGTTTCTCTTTTAGGATGTGCTTCAAAATAATGAAGTTCATCTTGATCATATTTTCATAGCTTCAATGGTCGGGGATATTATCAGGGTAAATGGTTATTGATAATGATAATTAATGAACATCAAGTTAATCTTTATTGTCCTCTTTTTTTTGTTGCTGCCATTATTGTTCATATTGCCTTTTGACCTTTAAGGGAATGATTTATCTTCACGAATCTTCTATTCACGTCCACGGCGATTTAAAATCATCAAATTGTCTGGTTGACAGCCGTTGGACAGTTAAAATATCGGACTTTGGTTTGAACGAGTTGAAACAAGGGGCCACTTTGAAGGTTGCTGATTTTGAAAAATATTGTGAAAGTAAGTACCATATCGACGAGCATTAAGGCAAAGTGCTTACAAATAAGACTTATTATAAGCACATTCACAACCATTGACATATGTGATAAAAATCTGTTCAAATTGGGACAATAAATGTTGTATTGATCGAAAGAAAGCCTCTTCGATTAAATTCTTGCTTTTCAACGACAGTAGTCTCTCAGCAGTTCTGATTTTCAAGTAAAAGTTGAGGAAGCTCAAAAATTGAAAATTGTTAAAGGTGATTCGGTCAATCATTGCTGAATTTAGCGTCTCAATCAATAGTATATGCGTCTGCTTGCGAATATGCTGTGCTTTTAAAGTTGAGTTCGTTTCACACAGAAGCACTGTGCCTTAATGTTCATTGTGTTGCGTTCATGTTAGTTGTCTAAGTACTTGTGTAATTTGCCATATCCTTTTCAGCTATCGGTACAATCAAATTCAACAGTTAACTGAAGTAGTTATCAATGATATTTTTTTACGTCGAGATAATTCAATATTCATTCAAAATGGCAAATCAGAGTTCATTAAGGAGCTTGGAAATTTGAGTAATCAAATAGTGATCAGTTCCGGTTTAGGTAATCAATCAGCGAAGGTGAATTTATAATACCATATTCAATTTCACATTGATACTAGTTCAAGACGGATCTTGAAATCTGCAAATTTTATGCACCATTTTGTATCCTCTTTTGTTTTGCTTGATTTTTGAATTGTAATTCAAATGATAATGTTTGCGAATGTTTTATCATCACATATTTTGATTGATTTTAGATATTTTTCAACATTGATTAAGTAAATTGTTATTATACTATGTAACAGGTTTGTTATGGAGAGCTCCAGAGTTGATTCAGCTATCTGGTAATTCATTCACTGGAAGTCAAAAAGGTGATTCATATTCATTTGGAATCATTTTATATGAAATTTTGGGTCGACAAGGTCCTTGGGGAGGATCAAATCTAACAGCTACCGAGATAGTAACTTCATTGATCAACCCAAAGTTTTCTGGTAAATCGATAAGGCCACCAGTGAATTATCTCCGTGATAAATTAAAGTTGACTCAATGTAATGGTCTTGAGGGTAGCAATGGTGGCATTGGTATTTTTAATGCAAAAATTGATGGCCATGATTCAAAGAATCAATTGACCCGTGATTTATATGATTGTTGCATTTTTTGTATGGAGTCTTGTTGGTCTGAAAATCCAGAGGAAAGGCCAGACTTTAAAGCAATCCGTAACCGTCTCAAACCAATAAAAAGAGATTTAAAAAACAATATTCTTGATAACATGTTGGATATGATGGAAAGGTACACTACTAATCTTGAAGCACTGGTTGACGAAAGAACTGATCAATTGGTACAAGAAAAGAAGAAGACTGAAGACTTGTTGTATGAAATGTTACCCAAAGCGGTTGCAGATGAGCTTCGACGAGGACACAAAGTGGAAGCCGAATCGTTTGAATCAGTAACAGTCTTTTTCAGTGATATTGTGGGTTTTACCAGAATGTCGGCTCAATCAACTCCACTTCAAATTGTTGACTTTCTTAATGATTTATATACTCTTTTCGATTCAATAGTTGAGTCTTATGATGTTTATAAAGTTGAAACTATTGGTGATGCTTATATGGTTGCTTCCGGGTTGCCCATCCGTAATGGTGATCTTCATGCATCCGAAATCGCTTCAATGGCATTGCACTTATTAGACGCTGTTCGTAAATTTAAAATTCGTCACATTCCAGATGAAAGTTTATTGATGAGAGTGGGTATACACAGTGGACCCGTTTGCGCTGGTGTTGTTGGAGTGAAAATGCCTCGATATTGTCTATTTGGAGATACAGTCAACACTGCTTCGCGTATGGAAACAACCAGTTTACCGTTGAAAATACACGTAACAGAATCATTCCGATCCATTTTGATAAAGTTAGGTGGTTATGATTTAATGGAACGAGGTCTGATTCCAATTAAAGGTAAAGGTGAACTTAAAACATATTGGTTGACTGGTGAATCCCGGGAAAGATTGAGTCGTCGATCAATGGTCTATCCCAGAGATTCCAGGTGCCAGTTTAAAAGTTTAATGTCAACTACAACTACATCAGGTTCTTTGGCCTCGTCAACTGTTGTTAGCCCGAGTAGCTTAAGTCATGCAGGTGTAATGACAAGGAAAAGTTCGCCAGTGACTTTACCAAGTAGTCCAGTTTGTAGTCCATTAACTCTTTCCGATAACATTGGAGAAGTCGGAAAGTTGGGATCGATTGAGAATGAGATAAAAAGGGCATCTCATTTTGGGTATAAAGTTGTCGCCTCTTCTTGTGAGATTAAAATGCTTCAAAAAAGGTCAGTTTCTTCGCTGAATCGTCTTTTTCCTATGAGACCAGCAAAAAAGTACAAGACGGGATTCGATCTATATGATTTGACTTCAGGATCCCCTAAAACATCAGCAACTTCGCCGTCATTATCATATGGAAATGGCTCTACCTCCGTTAGAGTATCAAAGTTAACCAACACAGGATCAGTGAATGACATTGCTTTTGATTGTGAGCAAAAAAGCCAAGAAAAATTAGGATCTCGTTCCGTTTCACCAAATTGTAATCACCAATCCCTAAAAATGGTTTCAAGTGAGAGTAAAATTTGTGTTAATCGAGTTAGTCTTGTTTTAGACCCATTTAAAAAATTTCGTGGTTCACTGAAGGATATTTTCAATCAAAAAATATCGACCTCACTTCATTCATCTGAACTTAATGATATCTCTAGATCGGAAAGTTTTCCTTTCTTGTAATAAAAAAGAAATGGAAAACATGATAAAATGTGATCATTTAATAGTTCACAAATCATTAGTGAGCTGATGATTTATTGCGTATAATCAATACAACATTACACTAGCAACAACAAGCTTGGCATAAGTGTCTTAATTGTATTAAATGTAATTTTGTTTTTTTTCTATCAGTATTAATTAATAAGTAGAAAGATCTCAATCGTGTTAATGTATTTTGAATGTAAATACTGTGCATAAAAATATTGAAGAGTAAATGTTTTTCAGGTAAACATACATGTAATGTATAATGTAAATAAAAATTGTTATTAAAGCTTAAATTTTGCATTTTTTGATTTTACGGTAATTGATCACCAATCAAGGTAGAAATCAAAATGTTCAACAATTTGAAGGATTTTTACATAAAGACTGTAAAAATGTTCAACATGTAAACACAATTTCAACTCTCTTTCTGCCTGCAACAGCTCAAGGTTGGAAACAGTTGTTTTCATGTAACCAAACAATGTGGGGAATTAATTAATCGAAGATTAATTAGGTAAGAAAAAGCAAAAGTTTCGATCAGAATGGGATTCGAACCCACGCGGGCAATGCCCATTGGATTAGCAGTCCAACGCCTTAACCACTCGGCCATCTGATCTTTCATGCAGAACGAACGATAAAACGAAAGCACATCGAATGAGGTAAGTTTATGTAACACATGTGAATGTTATTCTGCTATCATTATAATGTAATTTGTTACTCGGCCATTCTGTTTAGATTGAATAATAATTTTTCGAACCATTTCTCTCGTTTAATTTTCCATCCACCATCCTTCGAATCTCGGATTTCTGCTTTTGGATCCTTACATCTTGATCGATTTCTCGCTAAGAAAATAGCAGCACTCCGTCTTTGTTTCATCTGAACGAGAAAAGACGAGTTATTACAAGAAATTGAATGCGAAAATAAAGGTGAAGAAAAGATGAATCAGAAATTGATTGAAATAACTTACATTTTAAGATGATTGAAATGGGTCTGAAGTTAGGTGGAGGGTTCATCGTAGAGGCCTGGTTATGATTGAGATTCAACAGTTTAAAGGTTGCATTACCATTAATCTAGCTCAATTTAACGATATACTATCTTGATAGGCAAGATTTGTGATACAATAAATATCAATGTTTGTTGCCAGGAATGAGTATGAAAAAAAAGAGGGAAACAATGAAGTGAAATGTCATGATTATGTTGACACTTTAGGTTGAACAAAAGAAATCTGAAATACAACGGATTTGCTGTTACAAGGTAAAATTAACATGCTACTTTTGTCAACATGATTGTGCTGTACAGTTTACAAGCTTACGTGATTAGAAATATAAAAAAATGAAAATGATGTAACTTGGTGAAACTCGGCCATTGGAAAAGATTGACGGATCCATTTTATGGTGAGCTTCCAGTTAGACGTTTCCCTCCAATCAAAATGAAGTTTCCAGGTACAGAGGTACTCTTTCCTTACAATGGTTTCACTAGAGGAAAAGAAAGAAAAACATTAATTAAATATCTTAAATCAATCAAGCAAATTATCAACAAAATAATACTAAAAAAAGCCAAAATGGTCAACAAAAGATAAAAAAAGTATATCCTGTATTTTACCTTCATCACTTGATTGATCAAACATCAAGACAGAGATCATTGCTCTTGAATTACTAAATATCATATAAAACGTCAATTTAATTTCAATTAATTCCCGAGAATCCAACAATCCACCATTTCGAATTAAATATTTAACAAGAACAATAATTCAAACTATTATAAAAATGAGTTAAAAATGCATAAGCAAAAACATGGCTAAGAGTTCAACAATAACGGTTCAACACTTTCTCTGATGTCATCATCATGTGACCATCCATTTGGTAAGAAAGTGAAAGAAGCGCCTTACCCTTTTTACCGGAAGATTTTGCTATCTTTTGCTATTTTTAAATGTGCGTTTTTTACCATCACCAATTTCATAACAATCAACATTATCAAATTTAATATTTAATAGTCTTGTGTCTTCCTTCAATCTAATTATTTAAAGTCATTGAGTTATATAAACGCCCCATTACCAGTTTTCATGTTCAATGTTTTGGGCCTAAGGCAGCTTTTCCTACCATCTTGAATAAATTTAATAATTTGTTGTTTCCTCTTTCCCCAGCAATTCACTCATTGACTCATCATCGCACCATCTTTGTTTTTATTTTTCAATTGTTAACTCTATTTTAATTGATTGATCAAGTAAACACTATTCTGTCAACCTTTAACTTTCATCTGTTAATCGTTTTTCAAGTTTAACGTTTTCGCATGCATTATTTTTCCTGTATTGTTTGAACTTCAAAAGTAAACACTTTACCATCATTTATCGTGCTAATCAATTCAAATCACTCTTCGACAAACTTGAACTTCACCATGTTCTATTCAATTTAATTTCTATTTACACCTTTACGTGCAATAAATATTATTTTCAGCATTAACTCGCGACTCACACCTATTGGATCATCGGATATTTATAATTGTAAATCGACTTGTTGAGAATCCTCTTTTAAATCACAATTTCACCATACTCGGACTGTCCATCAACTATTGTGAAAACAAGGTAAAGTCTTGAAATCTTCCTAGCTAATCTTCAATTTACTTGACCATAGTAAATCGGTTTTTGGTACTATTTACTTCATTTTGAAAATTCCTCATAGGCATATTGAAATCAACTGTCAATTAATTTCTACTTTTCGTTATATTCCAATTGTTTCTAGTTTAGGTATATTTGGTAAAAGTGATTGAAACTTGTTTGGGTACATTTTTGCTATTTTAATAAATTCTTAAGAAGCCAACCAAATCAGCATCCATAGCTTTAGGGTTTGTAGATACAAATTAGTAACTCTTTTCGTCCATTTACATTTTAGGCTTTTATACCTTTCGAATTTAATTCCTTACTCAGCCTTTCTTAAGCCTCAGGTCTTAAAGATTAAGTAAGATTCTCAAAATTTCGAGCTTTAAAGCTTAAAGCATTATTGATCAGTCTTGACTGGATGAAAAGTTCAACATTGAAAGTTTTCAAAAGTTTACATTTCTTGATTTCTTGATTCTTCTGTAATCTGACGTGGCGCAACTAATCAAATTCTTACTACCATTCAATTGTAAGCGTGAAATGCTCTCTGACAATCTTTCTGTACTTCCCAAAAGTTAAATCAGGAAAGTAAAATCATTTTAAACTTGTTTATCTGAAAATTTTACCAATCGATGATTATGCTTGATCAATTAACCGATATCACATTCATTCACTTATATTTGAATCATTTCAATATGATTACTTTTATTATTTAATTTGTATACATTTCCCTACTTCATGTACATATGGGTATTGAGATTTAAGATAATAATTCATGTTTTTCTTTCTTCTGTCCACAGAATATCTTTCATTTCAATTTTCAGCCTTAATGGTAAAGTGAAACCCAAGAGGAAAAAAATATTTATCAAAGGCCTTTCCAATGTTTGATTGAATTCCAAGATCAGAAAAGAAGCAAATTGTTTACTCAAGGCATCATCAACATTAGGGAAATCAACGAAACCCTCGCTCCTGTCTATGTCTATGTCTATGTCTATGTCTATCTGTCTTTCTCTCTCTGTCTCTCTTTCTCTCTCTCCTTCATCTACTCAAACGCTCTCCCGTGTGTCTCCCTAAGTGCTTTAATTTTCTTCCCCCTCTGACTCTCTTCTTCTCACGCTTTCTCTCCTTTGCTCTATTCATATCTTCATATCTTTGTATACATTACTAGTTGAAATGTTTGTCCCAGCAATACAGCCCAGCCTTAGTGTGAAGCGAACCTAGTGCGAGCAAAGATTCCCCTGTAGATAGTGCATGTCGAACACTCTTCTGTAATCATTCAAATCGTCAACAACTAAAAAAGTTTATCTCTCAAAGCCTAACCATATATGTTTAATGATGTTTTAATAATGACAATTGAATAACAACTGGATAGACTTGTTGCTCTGTGCTCAACGACTAGTTAAATTTTGTTGTTTGTTTTTGTTGATAATAGCTTGTTGGTATTCCTATTTTCTGTATCCATCGACGTTCAAGTCTTGTTTTCGTTCTACATATGGAAAACCCTTATGGTGTTTTGAATCATCCTATTCCATCCAAACGCACTATCATCCATGAAGAAGATGATCAGCCATCTTCATCATCCCCACCTCCGCTGCCACCACCACCAAGGCCTCGTAAATCTTTGGAAAAATTAAGAAAAGCCAAAGAGGAAAACATTTATGTTAATTTGACCAATGTATCATTTCAACAAAATAATGTTTATGATGAGCCTGTTAAAAGTTCGCCTCCTCCACCTTATCCGCCTCCTCCTTTACCTCCTCGTATTGCCACAAGATTAAACAAGAGTCATCAGGTTTTAGGTAAGATATTTTCAACTATTTTTGTCTTTATAAGTGGGTGGTTATCTCACAACGTTAATAACATCTTCATAACAGATGATAGTGTTACTAATGGCCTATCCTAGCATTTTCTTCTCTATAATACTATAGAAGTTTTTTTTCTCTTTTTAACTTCATTTTATTAATTTATTTCTTTTTTCCCCTCTCACGATTTCCTTCTTATCCAGAACGAGTCTCAGAAATATCTACTGAAGGATCAGATGTGACTGAAGAATCATTGGAAAGTGTTGAAAGGTCCGGCGAAGATACAGAGAATAGGTCCGACGACAATGACATTGACAGTGATGACATACATGGAGGTGAAGAAATATATCAACAAATCACTACGGCCAAAACTCGACCAAAATTTGATCAGCCACCTCCCTTACCACCTCGTTTTCAGCGTCAAACTTCTGATCCTGTTCACCCTCTGGATAAAAGCAATTTCAGTTCCAAGCTTGAAAAAGCATTGGTCAATCAATTTGCAGCTCTGAACTCTCCTGACAACCGATATGGACTTGTTCGAGCTAATACATTACCTACCAAAACATCTAATCATGTAAATAATAATAATAATAATAATAGTGTGCCTTATGACATAGAAAAGATCGAGAAGACTGGTAAAGCAGCATCAACATCATCATCTCCATCATCTACAATGACTGAATCACCAAATGGACCTAAAAAGCCACCACGAAAGCCTGCAAATGATTCAGAGATTATGAGACCAACTGAACAATTGCAGGATAAAACTGGGTATCTGTACAAAACAGGACCAACTCGTAAAACGTTCCATCAAAGATGGTGTCTGTTGAATAAAGAAAAGTTTTCTTACTACCATGATGAACCAGTCAGTGATAGTGGTAAAGAAATTGAGCCTAAAGGTGTGATTGATCTATCCAACATAGTATTGATTGGAACAACTTTGAACCCGCCTGCAATTACTACCAAATCCAGTAAAGGGATCCCATGGAGAAATCAATCTAATAGAAAAGATGACTCTTTGAGTTCTACTAATAGTAAGCCAGCAGGCTATGTAGATATCGGTGTTTCCAATTCTTCTGGAAGAATGTTCCTATTCGCTTCCGAATGCCAAGAAGATATTGCTGATTGGATGGAAGCCTTAGCTCTTCGTGTTGAGCCTCAGATTCAAGCTAGTCTTGCAGTGTATCGTGATTTTACTTTTGCAGGCTATGTTCACATGAAACTTGGTATCTCAGGTACTTGGATACGGTGTTGGCTAGTTTTGAGAAATCGTGAATTGGCCATTTTAACAGATTTAGATGGCTCTGAATCGGAAAATTCTATCATGACCATTGACTTGAGGAAAGTCATGTCTATTTGTTATTCTTCATCTCACCAAATTACTCCGTGTGCAGACGCTAAAGAGCCTGGACAACCTGTCTACTTGAATCGTAATCATGACACTGGACTTTTTATTCAAGGATCTTATAAAGCTCACACTGAATTATTATACACTCATTTAACCAAATCATGGATGACACCTGTTAATGGCTCGTTTAGTGATCAGTTATTGACTCCATCAGGAATTCCCATTGCGATTGAAAAGTGCCTTAATTTTATCTGTACCTATGGCGGTGTAAGAACAAAGGGTATCTATAGTACACCTGGAGAAGAATCAATGGTTAAAAAATTAATTGAACCATTAATGTCAAACGCTGTTTGGGAACTCCATATCAGACCTGAAGATGGTTACACTGTACATGAAGTCGCTTCTGCTCTTAAACAATACCTCAAGTCTTTTTCGGAATGCCTCTTAACAGACCTGATGTATCCTGAATGGTGGGACAACAATTCTATCAAAAGTCGGGATAAACGTTTACGTAATATAAAAACCATGTTGAAAAGACTTCCTACAGTTAATTTTTCCATTCTCAAGAAACTTATATGCCATATTTATTGGTAATGTCATTTTCCATTCGCTACTTCCTTTCTTTTGCAACCTTTCAAGATATCTAATGTTTCTTTTTTTCTCTCTCTTTTTACAGTATAATAGAAAACGCTGAATTCAATGAGATGTTTCTCATTAAACTTGCTCCTATCATGGGCCCCATTTTATATTATTCAACTTTAAATCGTTCCTCAACTGAGGAAGCTGTTGCCGTATCTATGGATATATTTGCTGACCTGGTAGCTGGATTCTCGTGGTTATTTGACGTTTCACCCGAAGAGATGGAAAAAGAAAGAAAAATTGAAAAAACCCTGACAACCCTGCGAGAGTCTAAGATGATGTCAAATAAGACTGGTAATGATATCCTAGTAGGTGTTTATATGTTTAATCGTGATTGGGATCAATGCATAAACGTCCCTTTAAGTCCAAACATGACAGCTCAAGAATTAGTCAATTATGTTCATAAAAAGTCAAACCTTAAAAGACCAGCCTCAGACTTGGCCGTTTTTGAGGTTGTTTGCGCTGGTCAATTGGAGAGATTTCTCCATTACTCTGAAGTTGTTATGTCTGTTATACTTTCATGGACCACCAAATGGCCCTCTGAAGATGCCAAAGTAAATTATTTAATTGTTAAAGAAAACGACTATGAGAATCTATTGGAGCCTTATTTTGATCAAGCTAATACACGCAGCGGAACAATTTCCCTTTCTCTGTTTAGTGAACTAAAATTCAGTGATATCCATTCGGGTAAAGTGTTCAAAAAGTACCTTTTCGAATTTATTGGAGCCAAATTGAGTATATACAAAGATGCAAAGGCCAGCAAATCCATAGGCCAATGGAATATTGAAGACATTGTTTGGTACATTGGATCAGAAAGCAAACGTAATTCACCCAATCCTAAATTAAGTTTTACTTTTATTGAAAGATCAAGCAAAATTGTGAGAAGCAAAGAAACCAATTACATGGTCGGTCGTACAGTTGTTTGCAATACCCCTGATGAATTTTATAAATGGATTGCTGGTATGATTATCTCACAATATCCTAGTGGTTTAAGACCAGCTAAAAAGCTCATTGACCTGTTGGATTAAACAAAGTCACGAGGAATTGTATCAAATTAAAAGATAGGAGAGTGAAAAAAATCAATGTAATATTTCAAAGTTATTGGATATGGTAAAATGTTGGTTAAAAGGAAGCAGTTTCAGCATTACGATTTAAAATTACAAATAAAGTCTAAAACAAAGATAGATAAGAAAGATCCGGAACTTATTCAACGCCTTCCATTCCCCGAATTATCTATCTCACTCTTTCTCTCCTTATTCGTCTTGTTTACCAACCCACCTCATGAATCACTGATTCCTCGATAACTCAAATCATTGTCGCTATATTTTCACTTATAATCTCTATTTGCATCATGCATTGTTGCTCATCGTATTATCAAATAACTTTTTTTCATCATTATTTTCGCAAGCCATCCATCATGTGATCAAAATTCCAAGTCACTTCCATCTTCATCTGGATCGATTAACCCTTCAAAAAAAGTGAAACTATTTCTTGCTTGAGTCTACCAATCTGTTGGGCCAGAAAATGATTCGATCCAGAATTAAACTCCATGAACTTTAATAACGTTGCTATTTTCTGCCTTGATAAATTATATTATCTTTATATTTTACAAACAAGTTGTACAAAGAATCAAGAATGTATCATTAAATCAGACCAAGTGACCTTAAAAATGATTATATTAAAGAGCCCTATGATTTAAAAGACAACACTAAATTATTTGAATTTTCCTTGTCTTTATATTTAATTATCTAACAGTTGAACTCTTTGTAAACATGATTTCATGTAAAAATAGTAATGAAGTTTGCTGATCAGAAATTGAAAATTAGCTTTTCGTACATGAGTTGATTAGTAATCGATATTTAGTTAATGTGTCAATAGTAAATATTACTTTAGAATAGACAGTTTTAAGGTTCGTTCAACCAAATAGTTGTCATTCCCAGTTTGGTCAGATTAAAGATGGAATAATCATTAAATTGCAAAGGAATAGTTGGAAGTTTCTGAAAAGTTAACCTTGACTTTTGTTTTGACATGAATTTTAGGTTACCCTGAGTGATAACAATGAAAACAAATATTACATGAAAAACTAGATCATTACCATGTTACCTAGGTTTCTGTTGAGTTAATCAGTTTTTGAAAAATATTGAGCTTTAAGTTTCATTATGTCCCAAAAATTGAAAATACACAAACACAGGAAATAGAATCCTTTTCAATGTCATCCTTGTTCCTGTCTCATCTTTCATCATGACAAATCACCATGGTATACCATCGATAACCTAATTGTTTCATTTGTATCATCTAAGAATCAAAGAATGGGCAAAATAATGAAAACAAATAGGATTAAAGATAATGGGGTAAAAGTAATTCGGCTAAGTAATAATTAGATTCTTAATCTAAATAGATTTACAAAGATGAAATCTCCCGGAAATACAGATTTGTTCAATTTCTTGAATGAAGATTAAAGACGAGAAAGGAAAAGTCGAGCAAGTTTGGAGATTAAGTTTGGTTAATTTGAGCAATTCAGACAAATAAAGTCAAAGGGTCACCAAATAGTATTGCAAATTAATGATAGACAATAAAGTGAAGTAAACCCAGGCCCAGATATTAGTCAGATCATATGATTTGAGATGCTGACAGGTTCAGATAAAGATTAGTAACAAGTTTATAATGGACGATTTAATTTTAATCATGCAATCAGCGTTATAATACTGTTAGAGTGATGAGCAAAATGTCAAAGAAGTTAGGATAATCATGTAATCGTACAGACACAAGATACAAGGAAAGAAACCAAAGACAAATGTGATAAAACCTTGATTATAAGAGATCACGAAAAAAGGAAATGGCTTAAGCTTTGAAACCAGAAAAATCATGAAACCCACATAATTAGTGACATTGACGAGATTCATGAGAGCGCAAAAATGGATCAAGAAAAAACAAATAGGAAAAGCAATGTTAAGTCAAGACTGTAAGATGGATTAGCTAATATAACTGGCCAGCGATTTATGAAGTGTAAAGCAGACATAAAGGATTCTAAAATTCAAATCTAAAGATAACGACTTGGGAAAAAAAGTGTATCACGGTTTTACCAGGGATGATGATGATGATGATGAGGGTGACAATGATGATTAAAAGAGGGCTGTAAGGTTCAAGGTTAGTCGAAAGGTCCGAGAAAGAGGAAGAAAGTATGCCAAATGATATAGCGGGAGATTGGTTTGGAGAAAGAGGGAGCAGAGAACAAAGTTTTACTTTTGATATATCAGATGATCAACATCGTTTCCACTTTCTGGTTTATGGCTAATTTTTGTTTTGTTTCAATTGCATTTTCAATGATTTTCTCTCTCACTTATCATCACTCTCATTCTGCTAATCTGTTTCGTCTGAAGAGAAGGTTACTCTTTAGTTTGGTCTGACTCTTGTGCTTCTTCTGATTTTCCCTATAACCCAAAAGTGAACCAGTGTTTTGGGTTTCTCTCGTCTACCATTGTCACCCTGTGTTAAACCTTTTTTTAGTCTTCTTATTTCAACTTTGTTCTTTTATTTTGAGCATTATTATAATCTTTAATGGAACCGGATTGACTCAAGGATAACCAGTTTTGTCCGTTCATTGACATTGATCAGTTCGTCATCACCATCTTCAATCATTTCTTCCACCTTCGTCAATTTGATTTTGTGTCTTATTGAAGCAACATTAACCTAGCATTCGATTGCTATTGACTGCAATTTAAATTTCTCATTTTTTTGTTTCTTTACAAACTCAATGTGAAACCATTTATGTGTTAAACTCTTTACTCTTATGTTTCATCTTGCATCAGTTGATCTTTTCGCAGCTTTATCTTCATTATAATATTGGTATTTCGAATCCTACCAAGTTTACATTTTTTGATTCAACTTTCTATCATCCAATATTTGCATGTGATTTATTTTTTTAATTGCTGTTATCATATTCAGACAACGAAGAGTTTGGCTGTTTGCCCATTTTATTTTGTAAGGTAAGTTATTCAACCATTTTGTATCTTGTTTAATGTTTCCTTTGACCATTAAATTACCATTTTAGTGGGAAAATATCAATATTCTACTAATTATGTTAGCATTGAATTTTGTTTGAATCGATTTTTGTCAGCTTTACAAGGTTTGTTGTCAAGTCGATGAGCACATAATTGATTCTACTGTATTTAGCTATTATTTGCTTGTCCATCTTTCTACATTTTCTCTGAAATTCTCATTAGAAATATTGCATCTTCAAGTAAATTCTCGGTCTCATTAAGGGTAATCGGAACTATGTCGGCTTACTTTGACTTGCTTAGATTTTTCTGAATAGTTTTTCTCTTCATTAGCTTAATAAAGACCGCCTTTAATAGCCTCGTAATTATATCAAGAACTAGCAATAGATATCTTTGATTAAAATCATGTACCGCTAATCGATTAACCCCAGTTCCTAGTCTGGTTCTTCCACCAGAAGACTTGACTTACTTTCGTTAGGCTATTTTTCAAATCTTGAATCGATGACAAATCAACAGATGGCACTTGCCAAAAGAAAGAAAGAGCAGAATTGACCTGCTTCAATTTGGGTAAACACGACCTTTGATTGGTCAATCATTCAAATTTTACAAATAACTTGAGAGTAAAAATTGAGCCTCTTGTCACCCAAAAGAGCAAATGTTAGCTCACTCGTTATGCATTACATCATTTATTTGACAGCAAGCTTCATCTTGTTTTTTCACTTGCTTGTATCGCGCCTTTTTAGTTACCACTTATAAGTTGATGCCATTCAAGCTACCTTGCAGCCCAATCTATTTAAATCTGGTATTGGACTTTTGTTACAATTAGAAAGTTATTCAACATTGATAAATATCACCGATTCAATCTTGATTATTCTTTAATCCTTCCTAAAATAGTAAAATTGATACATTTATCTACCTTAGTATTTCTTTTACCATTGTTCAATTTCATCTGATAAATCTATTTATCCATACTCTCACCATCTTTGCGGTTTCACAGGTTTTCTTTGTTGTTTTCGATTGTTCATTTTTATCACATTATTTTTTTCTCTCTCCCCTTTTTTAGTTTTAGGTTCAAAGCAAGTCACTCATCAACTGACTAGGAAACAAAAGGTTTGTCCATTGCAATTGCTGTTACCCCATGATGCTAATCTTGGCTATTTTTTCTCTCCACTTTTTATTTAGGTTTTATTCGGAAAGCATTTACAATTAATCAACTCTGATTGTTCATAGGAATCTATTTCCACCAAAGAAACATGTCTTTTGGTAAGTGATTTAACATCAACTACAAAACCTGCAAGTGATCTCATAGTTGAACAAACTTAATCATGAAGGAGCTTACATTTGCATTCTTGTAATGATCTTGTTTTTAGGTCACTTAGAATTTAATTTATTCTTTTTTTAATCTTTTAGTCAACCAAGAGCTGGACCAATTATCTACTAGATTCAGGTAACTGCATTTTTGAGCACCCCTTTCAACTACTTTTATTTATCACAACTTACGATCTTTCAAGTATTTGACTCATCGTTCACCTTTTATTTACATTTCATTTATTGTATGAGTATTATTGAATTAGTCATTGTTATTATTCAATTGAAATTAACTTTTCTGCATTTTAATCTCTAATTTCTTATTCTTTATCTTTTAATAGCGCATCTATTGGAATTGGTGGCGATAGTTATGTATCTCAAGTTGACAGTGGACCTGCTGAAATTGGAAATTCTCAGCCTCCAGGCTTTGTGAATGCCGCTACACCTTTAGAGGCTCAAAGCTCATCTAGTTCATTGTCTAGTGAAACAATTGCTCTGGAAGTTGAGGGCTGCACACCCAGCTCGTTGCGACGGACTCATTCGTCGAATGGTTCAACCAATGACAACTCAAACGCAGGTTCTCATTCAACCAATGCTACTTCCAACTCAGATTCTCCAATTATTACTGCTTCAATTTTGGATGAAGAATACGCTATGAACCACAAATCCCGTGGATTGTGCCTTATTTTTAATCATGAAGAATTTGATAACTGTGGTCGGCGATCTGGAACTGAACAGGATGCCTACTGTCTCAAAAAAAGCTTCGAATATCTCGGATTTGAAGTCCAAAGATACGATAATTTGCGTTGTTCAGAAATAATTGAAACATTAGCTTTAGGTTGGTACATATTTAAGTCTCTAGTGCTATTGTTTTGCATTTGGTTTCTTAATTTCTGTGTTTAAATCACTTACAAAGTGTTAATCTATTTCGTCTATTTTTTAGTTTCTGAGAGTGATCATTCAGACGCTGACTGTTTCTGCTGCTGCATATTAACTCATGGAGAAGGAGAACACCTGCATGCTCGAGACCAGCCTTATGCAAAAAATAGTGTATTTGGTTTATTCACTGGAGAAAAGTGCCCGACTTTGCGTGGCAAACCAAAAATATTTTTTATCCAAGTTAGTATCTTTGATTCTTAACAATCTCTGAATTTGTTTTTCCTAGTAACTAGTTAGTAATCTCGTTTTACTTTCTAGGCTTGCAGAGGTACCAACACTGATCATGGTGTTCAAGTGGATTGCCACCATGATGCTGTTCAGCAACCAGGAGTTAAAATAAATCAAGTTCAATGTATCCCTGTCTGGGCGGACTTTTTGATCTCTTATTCCACCGTAGAGGGTTACTATTCCTACAGACACACTGCCAAGGGAGGCTGGTTTGTCCAAGCCTTAACTCCCATTTTGGAAGCTCTTGGAACTAACTATGATTTGGTTTCAATTTTAACTGCAGTCAACAAAGATGTCGCGTTTAATTTAAACGCTTCTCCAGGGAAACAAATACCTCAAATTGTCTGTACTCTGACAAAAAAGCTGATATTCCGCAGTAAACCATATCCTGTAAGACGATTAACTCAGTTTATTGCTGGTGATAGTGACTCGCAACAAATTCAATCACCAAACAATGCATTACCACCTGATAATAGCCGAGTTACTGAAAACTCTTAACCATAACTTGACGTGGATTTTTTCTTGATATTTCTCAAAAATTTTCATTATTTATTTTTTTTTGAAGCCATTCTTTTCATTTACTTGATTTTACATGACTTTTTGACTCGATTTTTTGAAACAGCCTTAAAACACTTATCTTTCATGTACGCCATTCAAATGGTACCAATTCTCTGATATCAGAAACATCCTGCCATTTTTGATATAATTATTCCATGTAACCAATAATAAAAATAATTATCTAACATTAAGACCATCTAAGATATTTTTAAACTGTTCCTAAACATGTAGCAATCAAAGTGCTACAGACTTTTAACAAAATCAGGTGAAAAAACTGTCATTTAAACCACACTGAATACTGTATAAGTAGTTTTAATAACAAGTAAAATAATTATTATGATATTAATTAATATGATATTGAAGAAATCAATAGCTTTACTTGTTTCACAATTGTTTTACTTTTCTGTCAATTTAATTAAAAAATATGTCTAATTAGTATCATAATCATCAGTTTAGGTCAATTATCCTCATAACCATGAAAAAATTGATCAAAATACTCAAAATGTTACTAACCGGGATATTTTAAAGGTTTAACAGTTATGACGATTTACGCCATCTATTGATATTTTATTGTTTCAAATATTGTAATAGCATTTAATAAGTGCACAAATTAACAATTTAGTTGCTAATTTGCTCTTAAATTTTCTTAATATTACTCTACAAATTTGCTGATATTATTAGTTGAACCGTATGTTATAAATGTTTGAACGCAATTGTTATTTAATGCAAACAAGATTTTAATCAATTTAAATTTGACATTTGATTTGTGAAAATAAAAAAAATGGATGACAATCAAATGGCCAAAAGAGGGTGAATAATAAATTGTAAATAAGCATCACAATCTATACAATTTTTGTAAAGTAATAATAATATACATATTGCATCTTGTCATAGTTATAATATAATTTGAACAATTTTTTCCTTTGGTTATATTTTGCTCCATAATTTTGTTTCATCTATCAGTTGAAATGGTTAAGAGCAAGTGTTAAATGAACACATAATGAAGCCCGAAAAACGCACCAACCACCACTAAATCCGTTTTTGTAATTGTTTTCAATCGTTCTCATTTGCTGTCCACAAAAGTATAATATGATGAAAGTTAATATGATTGGATAATATAATAAGAATAATTAGCGACCATCAATTTTTGGACAATTGAAATGATGCTTGATAAGGTTTCCTGAAGTTGAATATTTATCCAATTGAACTGTTTCTTTTTGTTCCTTTTGTTTTATCCAATCCGCTAATCTGATTAATGTCCATGATCAGTGTAAGTTGATTACAAATTGTTGCCAACAAACAGCTGAAAGTGTCATTTTCCCATTTTTGCTTTGCTTTTGCTTTCGCTTGCGCTTTGCCAATTGCCATCAACCAAACCATCCAATTAATAGTGATATTGGCTTGATATAATGTGACATGATTTTTAATCATGAAATGGGTTAATTTGTCAGGACAAAGGTTAACGTCTTAGACGTCTGTGGATCAACAGAAAGTCAAAATTTTGTGCCTAAATCAATACAAATAAGACTATTAAAAGCCTATCGCAATTGATTTGATGAGGTAAAAAGCTCATCTTAATGGGGACTCGAGCTGAGCTCAATTATAACAATTTAGTGTCAAAAAGAGAAAAAAATTTATCGTATTTTGAGACAAAATTATTTACAATTAAATGCATTTCGCTATAACATTAATTGCTAGCGAAAAGCAGAAAAAAATAAAACAAAACAAATGATTAATGAATAGTCTCAGATGTGTGTATATATTATGATTTGTATATTATTACAATTTGTTGTTAAAGTATTGAAATTAAATTTTTGCACGTTTACTTTGTCATCATCTAGTGTTAATTGTAAGTAAACAATAATAATTTAACTTGGATAGCACAATTAAGAGATTACTGTTGCTAATTGAATATCATTATTATCATCAAAATCATTTTGCTTCAACATTGATTGACAAAGCATTTTTCATTTTTTCAAGTAAAAAATCAGGTCAAAATGATTTCAGGCAGTTTTGCGTTAGGGTTTGTTTTTTGTTTTGTAATATACTTTGTAACAATAATGGTAATAATAATAATGATAATAATGATAGTTAGTAAATGATAATATATTATGTGTGATGACAGTTGTATTGTGATATTAAAATTAGCCTGGTAGATTCAAATGTCACAACTGAACCTCTCAGTGATGCTTTCAGTTGGTTTCCATTGAAACACACACAATTAGGCAAAGTTATCTGAAGAGTTGGTGATGTTTGAGTCATGAAGATGCTGGTGACTTTTGGTAGTGATAGTAGTGATGGAATCCGTGAGAATGAGAATGATTCTGATGAGGGTTATTGTTTCTGCATACCAGGTTAACGGGGATGAATATGAAAGTTGATGTGATCTGATTTATGAATCCAAATATGCTTTTTTATTGAATATCTTTCGTTTGTATATGTATGTAAAAAATGAGGCGATAAATAATTGTTAGTGAAAGATGTAAAGTGTATTAAAGAGGAACAAAAAAATGAGACCAATCCTAGGCTTGAGTTTACGTTAAAGACTGTAGTTGGCCGTACTGCTGGCATTGCTGTTTGTATCCTCTTCAATTTGTGAGGTTGATGTGATGGAAGCCGTGTCACTGGCTCCGCTTCCAGTGCTATTGGATTTAGCTTCGGTCATTTTTAATCGACATGAACATGGTTTGAGCAGTTTCGGGTAGATAAGCAGTTCATTGTTGGGTCCTTTGAAAATTATACCGCAACAAATTTTCTCTCTTTAAAGGATGAAAGGGAAAAAAAGATCAGAATTAGTTGAAATGTTTTTCTTTTGAAGCAAAAAAAGTGGATAAAAATAAAGCGGAAGAGAATCGGGTTAAAAGATGGTTTAGGTAAGAAATTATTGAAGTCAGGTAGGAAGTAATGGTGTGATTTGATAATAATAGGAGAGGGTGGCAAGAGGAGAGGGTCTTGGGTACTGCACGGATGATAATTGATAAGCTTCAATGTATGCTTACTTCCTCCAGAAAGACATGTCTAAAAAGGAAGATACTTTAGAGAGTGAGCTGGTTGGAGGTTTGGTACGCTTGGCTAAATTTCGTCGACTGGTCGATGATGAAGATGAGGGTGACAATAGGCCATTTGATATTGGACTTTTACTGCTGCTTCGTAGCTTCTTCTTGGGTGAGTTGAAAGCACCTTCGGCACCTTGCTCTTTACCCTCATCGTCAAGATCAGAAAGATAGTCATCTTCGTCTGAATCACCATCCAAATCGGATGAGTCACTTTGTATGGGACTTGGTATTCGTCGACTTGGTACATGAAAATTATCACCTAGAAAATAAAAGTAAGAGAGAGAAAGAGAAAAAGAATCAGTAAAAACGTGTTTCAAAACATTCATATTAGAGTTGCTCGGAACATAGTGGTACCAGTGTACCAGGTAAAGTGGAATTGATAGAAATCCGGAAGAAAAAGTCAGGTTCAGTGAAGATGATAAAGTTAATGATGATGGTTGAAGAAAGAAGCTAAGCCCTGCAGGGTTTTCACAAAGTAACAGAAATGGTAAGAGAATAATTTGATTGTAGAAACAAGATTGAGTTATTTCTCAATAAAATATCAACAGTTGACTTGTGACCAGATTTTGAAAGTACAAATGCTAACCAGAAAAGTGATAAAAATGAGCTTTTCAACTCATCTATGAAAGTAAATATGAATTTGTTGAAAATGAAGCAAATCTATTGATTTTCCATCGATAATTAATGACAATTTTTCACCCTATCAATTGTAATTAGTGAGAGGATAGGATTGGACAAAAAAAGGTGTAAAATATTCACCTTGAATGTCTGAAAAATCAATCAATGATGATTTAAGTTTCTTTGGTTTTTGGTGCTTCTTCGCATTGGTTGAGCTTGTTAGTGGACTTGAATTGCTGTGGTTTAATTTTGCGTATTTCATTGATTTGGTTCCTGGGCCAGCTCGAGCATCCACAACATGCCTCCAATTACGCGCGGTTCCTGGGGGCAGTTTTTTCCATCTTTTCACCAAAAGGACACATGCATTGCATATTTCACCTGACCTTTTCTCACTGATTCGGAAACACTTTTCAAATTCAGCTTCGTACTTTTTACTGTCCGTGAATCGGGAACTGGAAGATTTAGCCTTGCATATACAACAACCCGAGATTGATCGGTAAATCTTGGGCTTGTGGAAACTGAACATGATGAGAGAAAATTAATTTAAATTTTGAAGATGATTGTTGCACAAAATGTAAGTAGACTTGTAAAGGGACTTTAGGTTTGGGGACAAAATTGCACGAGATTGCACTTAAGAGTTGACCAAAAGGTTTGATTAGAGGTTTGACAGTTTATCGGTTGATTGTTGCCGTTGTTGTTGAGATGAACAAGTTGACAGTTGGACTGAATTGGGATAAATAAAGTTGCTTCTCATGGAGACTGAAAAGTGACGAAAAAAAGAGTATCAGGAAGGAGGAACCAAAAGAAGGAAGATTTCCTGGTAAAATAGCTTAACCAATACGTATTTTATGGCTTATCCTTTCTTTTTCTTGATATTTCAAGAGCAATCTTGTTGTCGTTTCGTCTTAGTGTTTTAACTGATTAAAGCGTTAAATCGTATTTATTTGAACCAAATTTTTCCAGCTCATGAGAGATTAAGCTTTGGTCTTATTTGTCTTTGCACTGAAAAGGTTAAAAAATAATGGACACTGACTAATTATCGGCAGATTATGAATAAATGGTAAACAGAGATTTCCACTGGTAAACGATAAGATGATTGGCTTGACTTGAATCCATTCAAAACAAAAAAGAGGCGATTGCAAGAGTTAATCACACAATTGGGTTGAGTAAAATTTGTATTGCCACGAAAGTGATTTTTAAAAATTGTATCCAAACAAAATTCAGTTGAAAAATGTCAAACGAGTAAACTTGGTCACTGGAAAAAAAGCGATGAAAAAAGATTGAGAATTAGATTAAATGAAGTAAAAAAACAAATGTTTAGGTTTTGATGTTTCATTGAGTTGTGTTGTGTTGTGATGCTCAGGTAACGTTGTTTTCAAGTTGACATGAGAAAGGAAGAGATAAGATGAAGGAGAAGTTTCAAGATTCAGGATGATAAGAAAGAGAAAGAGAGAGAGAAGCAAGAGAAGGAAGAGAAATATTTTTGGTATTACAGTTAAAGTGGTAGCAGATTTGGTCAGTTTTGATTCCATGAAACGGAATACAAATTACATTTTACTAAATGCCAATAGATTAAGTCAATTTTGACGTAACTAGTAGTTAATGTTGTTGTTGATTTGTTGTTGTTGATGATGTTGTTTACTTACTCTTTGCGTAATTTTAGAGTGGGATGAATGAATGAAGGTAAATAAAAACATTGAAAATGACGTTTTTTCAGTTGTTTTTGTCTTTAACTTTCACTCCTTTCAAGACATTTTGTTTTTCCCTGAATATTTTGTTATTGTTTTACACTGAGATCGGGTTAGGAGGACATTTAAGGTAACGAAACATTAATCTTTTCAAGTTTTATTCTTGAGGCTCGATTTCGTCAGAGGAAGATGATTGTGATGACGATGAGGAGGAGGAGGAAAAGGGAATGAATATGAGATGAGTATCAGCCAAAAGTTTCTATCATCTGTGTTTTGCTCTTCTAAAGATGCTCTAGGAAATGAAAGGGAAATGTAGATGAAAAGGGGAAAAGCTTGGATGATGGAAGAGGAGAGATGTTGATGATGAATTAAAGAGAGCAGAATAGATTTTGCGTAAATAGGACATTTATTCGTGACCTAGTTTCGAGTTTTTCTCCTTCTTTTCCTTCTTCTTCTCTTTTTTTTTTTACTTCAACTTGTGTTTTGGATCAAACAAATATATCTTTTAATAGAGCAAGAAGAATGGCGAAATAAGAAGTTGATGATGAAAATGAAGATAAAGAGGTTGGCAAAGATGTTGCATGGTGAAAGTGGTAAATATTTTGAAACTATTGTGAGGTTCCTCATTCTGGTTGTTGCATGATTAACAATTGTAAGTATTTTGTAGGTTTGTGTGATAATGTGATGAGCTAAATTGTATCCAAGGTGAATTGGGAAAAGTTGAAAATTAAAATCTCTCTTCTTCTGATGACATTGTTCAAGATGAAGGTTGATATTGACATAGATGGAAGATGGCGTTTTGTGTGTGTTTTTTTTGCAAGAGTGAAAGTGAAATGAAAGGGGAATAATTGGGATGAAATGATGGTAAATGACGATGAAGGAGAAAGTATAAAAGTGAAGGTGAAGATAAAAAAGGTGGAGGATATAAAATCGATGAGGTTTATTAGGTCACTGGCAAGATGTAGGCTTGAAGCATCTACAGTTAAGATGGATTCAGATGCAACGAAAAAATCTGGTTAAAAAGGTTACAGAATGGGTAAAATCGATGATATTAGGTCATTGACAAGGAGTTGGCTAAATAAACCAGAATGAACCAGAAAAAGGAAACAATGGTAACAATTTGTTCTTTTCAATTTAATTGCTACAGCTTTTTCAAATAATTTGAATGCCTGATAAACCAGAACTTTCATGTTTGCCTTGTGTTAATGTTTAAATTAACACTCGAGATATTCAATGATGATGTTGTGCTTTTTATGCTTCCAATGTTTAAATCAAAAGAGCTTGTTCCTATTTTTTTATGTTTACAACTAATGGTTGACATTTGATTAATACAGTGAGACTAAGGAAGAATAATGATACTTCTGGTTGATGAGGATGATGAGGATGATGAGGTTGACTAGAGGAATGTAAAAAATAGTGACTTTTGGGTAAGGGAGAGAAGACAGTATTTAAAGATGGATACAATCAATTTGGTGATGATGGTTGGGTGAAAACTGAGCTTGTTGGGTGATTTTAGTGGCTTTAATTGACAGAAGGAAAAAAAGATGAAAAAGTTTAAAAACAGAAGAAAAAACAAACAAAATTTGAAAGTTAAATTGTCATGATTAAATTGATTAATTAATTCAGAGCTGGTATTGGTAACAATTAGTGAATGACAAGAATGAACCAAATAGATTTCCATGTGATTATTGATTTGTAACAATTAGCAAGGAGAGTTGGCAAAAATTACGCTTGACAATAAAAAGTAAGTTAACCAGAAAAGGTTGATTCTAAAGGAAACCGGAAAATAACCAGAAAAGTATAACAACAAAATCAACCTAAAAATTAACCAGAAAATTCAATTGCATCATTTTGTCAGAATGGAAACCAGAAATGAAATGTTTTTGGAAAGGTTGAAGAACCAGAAAAAAAACTCTTTCTGGTTCAACATGTTTATAAAACATAAACAAAAGGTTAAAATTTTGTTAAATTGTAACCATTTAATTGCATAATTTACAGCTGACATGAAGAGGTCAATTTAAGGTTCTGACAACATTTCAAGGTCAAGGTAACAAAGGCCAAAGTAACAAAGGCCAAGGTCAAAGGCCTCTATTTTCCTGATAAATTTAACGCTCTTCTTGTTGCTCTTTTTCAGAGGAGAAACCAAAAGTTTCTGTTTTTTTTGCTCTCTTTTTTGGGTTTTTTTGGAGGTGGGTTAAGGTAGAGAGAGGAAAAATGGAGACAGAAAGAGAGGTTTTTACCTGATACAGAGTTGGTACTGATGGGAGTTGAAAGTATCATTAATCGGGTATCAAATGTTGCACTTGTTGGTTGTGACGATGGTAAAGGTTGGGATGTTGATAATGATTTAACGTAAAGACATATGTAACAAAAGTGATTGCAATAAATAAGTAAAAACAAATGGTAACAAATGTACAGAAATAAATTAATCAACAAGTTAATTACGACAAAAAAATTTCATAAGATTTGTATGAAACACAAGAAGCAAGAAAAAGGTTGAATGTAAACAAAAGGCAAATCAATGTAATAAAATATTAGTTGGGTCAAGTGTAGAAAGATTGCGATTACAATTGCTATTATTTGATCAAAGTTTAAATGATATTATTGTATGGTTGTTTGTAATGTAAATTGTTGAGTGGTTATAATTATCAGCATTAATGTGAAAATGTTGATGTTGATTATAATGGTTAAAACCATGTGACCAATTGTCAGGATTAACCCAATGATAAAACATGGAGATGCAATGACACTAATGAAGAGAGAGACAGAGAAAGATGAACCAGAAACAATAATGTTGATGAAATTGATGATGATGTTGTTGATCAGATTGGTGGATGATAATTGTAATCACAAAGAAATGGATGTAAATAATGAAACTGAGTTTAAGCTGTCACAGAGGTTATGCTTTACAGCGTCAATGTTGCACAATGGGAAGAACCAGCAAAAAGCACAATTTTTCAAACGTTTGGCTTTTGATTAAACAAACCTTTGTACCAAATTACAATTGTAGATAAATATATTAAATTGTTTCTCCTTTATAAATAGATTGATTAACTAATTGTATAATTGAACTTGAAAAATTAAATGTTGGTTAACAAAACAAAGGATCAAAAAGAGAGGCAAAAAATGGTAAACACTGTGATTTTATTTTACCCAACTGTGAATACAATCAAACACAACATCAACAAGAAGAGGTCGTTGATCTAGAAGCTGAGATGAGCAAAAAAGTTCATTGAACTTGGAGATGTTGCTATAGTTACTCTGTCTTCTCTTTCTTTGCCTCTTTCTTTGCCTTTCTTCCACTCTATTTCGCAATCTTTCTTACTCAAGTCTCTCTTTCACTTGTCAACCCAAAAAGAGGCCCAATTTTTTGGGTAACTAAGTTTCTTCTTCTGTCTATTTTTCTTTCTATTTTTCTATTTTTCCTTGTTTTCTTCTTCAAGATTAAATTCATGTTTCAGGCTATTGAAGCTGCTCATCTTAATCATCGCCATCGACATCATCATCATCATCTTCATCACCATAATCTTGAAATTTTCATGTTTATCAATTGATTTGTTCCCTTACCATTGACCTAGACATTGGTTAATCTGATTTCATCTTTTTTTACTGTATTGGCTCTTAACCTTGATTTAATCAATCTTGATCAATAATTGACGGAACTCATGATTAACCAAATTTCTGGTCAAACAAAATAAACATGACCATATTTACATGATGGCGATAATTTAAGTGTATGATTAAGATGATTAGAGTAATGATGAAGATAATGAAAAGTGAAAATTGAGTGAAAGCAGAGATGATTAGATAACCAGCTTTTTAAGCTTCAATTTTCTGGTTTTCACTTAACCTCTTCAATTTCATTGTTTTTGTTTTTCCAATTTTGTTCAGCTTTCATTTCATTGTTACACTTTTCAGTCAATTTGAATCATGATTAATGACTTGGATCATTACTTGAAATTTGACCAACTTTGTCATGATCAACATTGAAAAGTGAAAAGTAAGTCAGTTTGTTGATCAACCTTATCTTTACCATGCAAGTGTGAATCTTGATGAAACATCATTAAGGAGCAACAATAATTTCCAGTAAAGATTATCGATGAAGGTTGATTCCAACGATCCAAGGCCAATTCGAGGTTGAAAAATATCGTTAATAACATTATTTTACCTCTTTTCCCTCTCATCATCATCATCATTTGTCTCTCATTTAGTGTCTACAAAAGAGAATCTCTTTCGCCATGTTGTCTCCCTGTTTTCATCGCCAAGGTCTCATCATTATTATCATCATCTTTTCAACTTGTTGATAATAATTATTACAATATTACATTTACCTATTTATCCATCATGACACTTGATACTCTTGTTTAAATGACAAAGACAATTAAACTATAACTGTCTCTGATTTAGAGTGATTATAATCATTATTATATTGAACCTTTTTTTTATTTTGATTTTTACCACTTTTTGATAACCTTTTCAATTGATATTTACAATTAATTGTTGATTACCTTACAACATGATTACACTTTCTCCCAAGGTAATCAAACTTGAAATGATTAATTTTGTAATGCTAATAATAATGTAATATTTTTAAATAGTTTTTTTTCGTTATATTAACCATTCCACCATCTTTATTTGATGACAATTTATCAACAGTTTAATATCAGAGACAGGATAATCAAGATTAAGGCTGAATTAACTTTGAAATTAACGTTAATACAAGCGTAAATGATAACAACAAATAAAACAAGCAGCTAAAATGAAATCAGCAAGTTATTGCAATCAAATGAAAACCTTGATATACTGTGTTTAAACCTTGCAAATTGCCAAGCTGATTGTGCTGAATGATGTTCAAGATTATTGGTTATCATTTACCAGTTTTTATGCTTACAAATCAAAAACCTAATCACGATGATGTTAATAGGAAAACAATTTTAAATGAAAAGTCAAATTGGACCAGAAAAATGAGAAAACCCAAACTCTATAATCTGGTTAAGCCACAGAGGATGGATCAACCAAAGAGCAAGACAACTCTTTGGATCAACCTAACAAAGTCAACCTCTTAGCATCAAATTTAACACTCACTTCGGGTTGTTTTCACGGTCCTTTACATTTTTATTATGATTCAGTTCGAGCCAAAGATCATACATGTTTCAACCTAACGAGTCAACCTTGTAACATCAAATTCAACACACGTTTTGGATGATTTCACGGTGAACAATTTTTCGTTTAAATGATCATCTTTGTTTCACCATCATTCATTTTGTACTTGATGTTGAAATTGACTGGTTAAGCTGAACCAGAAAACCAGAAAATTTAAAAAATTAATCTGATCATCTAACGTTTTTCATCCGATTTCTAGCTTATCATTAATTTCATCCTTTCCCTCATCTTGGTCGTCTTTATCATCATCATCATCGTCATGAATTTTCATATTTTATCCTTGAAAATTTATCACCTGAGTCAAGTGAAAAATTACAGGAAGAAAAGGAGAAAGAAAGAGGAAGATGAAGATTGTGAAAGAGCGTTCGACAGAGGAAAATATGGACGAAAGAGAAGATAGAAAAGTCTGGAATGAAGGTTAATATAAAAAAATATACATTTGTATTTATATACTTTTCTGGTAAATTCAAGGTAAACGATAGATTCTGTACTTTTTAAGGAAATGTTGGAAAAAGGATTTAACTGTTAACGAATGTTAAATTACACTTTGCCTTTGTCTACAATACAATGCAATTGGTCATTGATTGGTCAAATGATTAAGGTTAACTATTGAAATAAAAAACCAAAAATGCTCAAGTTTCAACTCAAGGTAAACCAAATTTAGGTTAAATATTTTTCATTTTACATTTTCTGATGTATTTAACTTTCAATTGTAATTAACTGTTTAACCACGTTCTTGTCTCTCTCACTCTCTCATTGCCATGTTGCTGATTGCTGGTTGATTGTAATACCTGTTTAACACGGTTGTTGACAGTTATCAAGAACAGGTTAGCCAGTTTTACAATCAAAAACAACAGTTAGCATGAAACAAGTATTTCAAACCTTCAACATTCTGGTTTGTTGTTGTTTTTTTACATTCACTTTGCCCTAAATAATCTCGCAAGAATGACAGTTAACAATGCTTGAACATTGAAGTTACAATCAAGTTGATTTTAGATTGAAACTCAATTTTTAATCGACACTCTGTATAATATTTACCAATGACCATGTTTAATCAGTACAATTAAGAGGTGAATAAATGGCAATTGTGAATGAAGCAAGTTGAGGCGAAACCGTCATCAGCATCGTCATAATGAACCACGTTTACGTTAATTTTGTCAACACATTAATCACATTTAGTCCACATTTTTATTGTATTCATCAATTGTTGATGGTTATGGTTAATGAAGATTGAGAGTTGATTCAATTTTCACTTTTCAATGATGAAGTGTTCGGGTTAAAGAAAAGGTTAAATGACCAGAAACCAGTGAATATACCAGAAGTAAACAAACGACTCTTAAATTAACAAATTTTAGGTTTCAGTGAATCTTGTAAACAAACCTGAATCTGACAGTTGCTTGTTCAAATCAGTTGAAACCAACATGGATGATGATAATGGCGATGATGATCAAGTTGGCAGGAAACAGTTAGTTGAACGGAAATTAGATTCCTTTAATTCACTTTCAATGACAATTGTTCACCTTTTTTGTTTAAAAGTCAACTTGGGCCTAAAGTGCCCTCTAATTGTTTCACCTTGATTAACTGTTATATCAGAGATGTTGAACAATTTAAATAATGACAATCAAGGAGGTGAAAGTGAACAATTCATGATTGAATAGATAACAATGAATAGAGAAGGAAAACGCAAAGAAATAGTCAAGGCTATCAAGATTTCCACACAACACATACACAGTAATATTGATTTACCATCTTTAAATAACTGTTAATTGTCAGTTTTACTGTCGATTGGTAAAGGTCAGTAGATGATAAGGTCACTCGATGTATTTAATAATGGTAAAGGTTAAATAGTTGTAGGGATTGATTAAAGGTTAAATTGAAAGTTGAAAGTGAAAGGCCAACAACAACAACAACACATTTCCAATGGTAACATCAATGGGAAGAGGAAAAATTTGTTAGGCTTAAAGGATTGGGTTAAATTAAAGTGACTGGTTAAACTTACCTTTACTGTAATTGATGGTTTTATTTGATTATGTTTGTTTAATTTAATGATTATGATGATGATGCTGATGATGGTGATGGTGAAATGATGGTTAAATTAATGACAATAATAAGTGATGAATGGTTAAAACAATAGGTTTAATCAGTCAGTTTAATCCTTGACTTTGAAGGTGTCACAGTCCGTCTTTTAGGATTACCAAATGTTGGTGTTGATTGTTGTTTATCATGGTGTTGTTTATGTTGATTGTTGCACTTCGTTGTGAGCAGGTTTAAAGTAATGACGATTTTTGGGTTAAAATGAGAGAGAGAGAGTCACTCAGTGAGAGGATGATTATTGGATAGAGTGAGTGAGAGGCTGAGGCATATAAAAGGGGAAGGTAAGGGAGTAAGATGATGATTAGGCAGGGAAGGAATCAGGTCAGAATGTGGGTCAACTCAATCAACCATCTTTTTCATCATGACACAGTGAACTTACAGTTTGACAGATACATGGAGTTGGAAGATAAAAGAGAGAGAAAAAGAGAGAGAGAGCTGAAGATGAGCAGTATTTCATGTCAAAATGTATTTCCATGAAAGTGGATGATTTTCATGATTCAATGTTGCTTAATATCATTCAGTATGATCGTAAAAATGAGTTGAAATGTAATCGACTAAATTATGTATTAAATTCACCTAATGATACACAGGTAATTGGATAAACACTGGTAATGTTGGTTAAAGTTTAACCTTTGGTTAAGCTTGGCTATTGATTTACTGGTAACCCATTTTTTTCCTGGTAACTCTCCAATGATTCCTTGTTTTTTCCTAATCGATTCAATTTTTTTTTCCTATCCATGCTCTTTAACCACAACAATTGACCTTTCAATTGTTGATAATTAATTGTGTCAACAATCTTTAATTGTAGATAATTCATGATCAAATTTGTTTCAACTGTCATTTTCTGGTTCACATTGTTCATATGTTTTTAGGTTGCTTTTTGTATTACCATTTTGTTTTTTCTGCCTTTTTCTGGTTCTTCTTCTTTGTTAATTATCATTATTATTTTCAACTAATTAAGTCTTCTCATTTGATTTGTATGTTAATTAATGATTTAAAAATAGCTGGCAAATGCGGCAAGTTGTTTGGCTTTTTGGGTAATCATTATCTCTTGAAATTGAATTTGACGAAAGATTTCTGGTTTTAGATTTTTATTTTTAATGCTTTCTTTGTATTTCATTTTCAGTGTTTACCTTTTCATTTATTATTTAATCATCTTTTAATCATGAGCTTTCTAATCAACTCAATTATCATTGGCATATTTAACTAATTACGTTTGGTTGGTTAAAATACTGATGACGCTGCATCGACTTTAAGGCAACCTCAAGTTGACAACAATCTGGTTAACCATGATAAACGTTTAATTGTTATCAAAAGCAATTCTGGTGTGTTCAACATTACCAGCTTCATCACCATTATTATTAGCATCTTTGGCTTCATGGTTTATCCCTTGAAAATGAAGGAAAAGGTGAGCAAAAAACAGTGTGAAATAAGTATTGATCCGTTTTTGGGGAAAACCCGGAAGAAACTCTTTCCTACTCTAGGATCCATGGATTTCATCCTGGCAAGTTGATCAATAAGTCTGCCTCTCTTTGTGTCTTCTCTGTCTATTTAACTGTCTTAACCTTGTTATAAACACTGAGCCTAAAAAAGGAGCAAAACCAGAATCTCGATGAATCCCATTCTGGTTGATGTTAACACACATTTACCTTCAATGCTAATTTTGTTAGACTTTTGGCTTTATTTTAATCTCAATTAACCTTACAATTGTCTCTAAAACTAATTATATTTTCACTGGTTAAATCAAACAATTGCTATTAATGTTGACAATCAAAAAAGGCTTTTAACATATCAATGGAAACTGAAAGTACTCCTTTCAATACATCTTTTGTGTATATTTCATGTTTCATTTTTGTTTCAAATGTTGATTCTTTGGCCTTTCCTCAGCCTTAATCAATTCAATTTAATGTCTATTGTTGTCATTCAATTTATATTATTAATCTTATATTCACATATGAAATCAATTATTTTACTGTAACTGTACAATGTAAAATTATTAATACAAATCCATTGGTAGGAGTAAATAATGAAATTGTCAATGTAATTTTGTCCTTTGTTATTGTAATTAGCTTACAAATATGTTTATCTAATTGAGTATTGATTTTTGGGTAGAGTGATGGATTCATTGTAACTGGTTAACCTTTGATTCGGGTTAACCAGCCAAAAAGTGAACCAGCGAAGTTGAAAAACTGGTTAAATAATGGTTACCTATTTTGGTTCCTCAATTGGTTGGTCAATGATAATTCAAGGTTCATGCATTTACATCATTGGGTACCTCAGTACGTCATTTGACTTTGGTTTATCGATGTGAGATGAAAATGCTGATGAAAAAAACTGGTTATTGTTTGGGTTTGACTATCGATATTATGATGTTGATTCATTTGAAAAGGAAGGAAACTGTTATCCAAATTGAAAATTAACCAGAATATCATTGAAATGAACTTTTAAAGCGGAAATTGTTGATATATTTTAGTCTAAATTTCATGTTTGTCTTTGCTTTTCCTTACCTAGTTGATTGTCAGGGAAGAGAAGCCATGTTTTTTGTTGTTGTTGTTGTTGCTTTTTTCCTCTGTCAGCTGACTTGACTCGCTTCAGTTTCAAGAATCATCTCTGATTGTTATCTTGATTAAGGATTTACTCTGTGACTTAATATGTAAACTGATAATGATCGTCATAATAATAGCAGTGGAAAGATGTAAAGTGAAACTTTCCCTCAATTCAACATCTATTAATCAGATGATATATTTGTGTGTAAAATAAATTACCCTTGAATAGTTAGAATGGCAAGTTCATCTCGTAATCTGATTAATATAAAATCAAAGTGCAAGGCATCTCGATATTTAAATTAACTTTACATTGATGCCATCAACACAACTGGGGTTGAATAATTGATAAATTTAATCAGCAATCAGCTAACTAACCAAAAATGAGAGCAATGGCTTACAGGTGAACAAAACTTTCGGGTTAAACATGAAATCTGCAAGGAAAAGCAATAGATCCTCCACATGAGTACATTGTGTATCTATTATCATGATAACATGTTGAATTGAAATCTAAATATGTTTTAAATAAACTCAGAATCGGTAGAATTGGGTTTAAATATTAATAGAAAGTAAACAAAAATTTTGGTTCCATACCACACGAAGGCATAGTTTGGATCGATCTTCAGATAAATCAATGATTTTTGATCAAACTCAGCAGTTTGAAGGTTGAATCAATTCTGGTCAATCAAATGTTAATGTTATCAAAGAGGTAAATTAAATATAAATGATGAAGAAATGGCCAAACTCAAAATGAAAACAATCAAATTTTTTTCAACTGGCAATTAATTTTCTGGTTTTCTGATTTTTGCTGCCATCTAGCGTATGCGAATCGAACTAATTTATTTGTATTTGAAGCAAAAACTTTATATCAAATTTTAATTGAAATGAAAAATCTTTCCATGAACTTTCCATTGTATTATTAGTAAATCTTTATTTCATGATCCAGAGGTATACAGATTACATGTGAGATTATGTTGCATTTTCTGAATTGAATTGCTTCGTGTGGTAATGTTAAGCTGCCTTGATTCATGAAATAAATCACAATTACATTGCTTCTTATTGTCATGTAAAGGTGGAAAATCCATACAAATCAATAAATGGATACAAATGTGAAAACTTCTACTCTTGTTTCTATTTGATGAATCAAATTTTGAATCAAATCTAGCATAACTGCAACTGTATCGATGGATAATCCAAGAAAATATCCGTATCGACGATCATCAAGGAATATCGTTGATAGACCTAGAAGTGAGATTTGAGGTAGACCATCTCACAGTTGTACTACCACAAGTAATGTTTTACCAAATTATTAATTCTTTTATCAAATTGTAACATTTTAAATTTCCTGAGAAGACCATTAATTTTTGATCTTCAAACGGCCTTTTGCAATTAGATTTTTTGATTTTTCAATTCATTAATTGTTGTTCAGTGTAATGGTATGTTATGATCTTCTGGTTAAGCCTTTTTCTTTGAATTTTACACCATTTTTCATTCAATTTGGTTATTGTAAACTGTTTATTGTAACAAGTAAATATTTGTAATTGCTAAATGGACATTAAAAGATTTAAGTTTTTAAAAATATTATGATGAACATATTTGTTTGATAACAAACTTGATTTTTGAGGTTGAATGTTGTATGTTAGTAATATGAGAATAAAAATGGAAATAATTTTAATCACTAATAATGTGATGAATTTCATCATTGAAACTTGATTTCTCTCATTTATTCTGACACCAACCACAGCTATTGGGCAAAGTCATTTGATCATTCAAAATCAGTTGTAATCACTTTATTTTTAATTGCATTGTGTGAACAAATGAAATCATAAGTTCAGGACTTTTTTAGTTCCTATCGATTCCATCTTTCCACAATTAGTCAACCAACAATCAAAGTACACTTTTCATCTATTATTTTCATTTTTATTCCCCAAGAGTTAATTGTAATGAAAGGATTTGTAGTGAATGAAATCAATTAGCAGCAGCCAAAATCCTCATGATTTTATCATATGATTGACCACTCAGTTGGCCCTTTGATCGCAGTGAATCCAAAGTTATACAGTTTTTGGGCGATTGTCGGTATTGTTTAACTGGTCCACCCAAATAATCAGGCAATTCCGACTTTGGAATATAATCAGTTATCTCTTTACTTGAACAAAACTTGATTCGGTTCTTAACCGCTGCTGGATACCAAGTGAATGCTAGAGATTTGATCGCTCGAAGAACCCAATTCAAGTTGATTATGACAATGTACTTCTGTCCTGATGGAAAGTAATTTTTCAAACTGTAATTAATGAAGCTCAACATTTCTGGGTCACCCTGAGCCAAGGAAGCATTTGAACAATCAAAGACAAGAATCCAACCTCCAGTTGAGGGAAACCGTAGAGAGCCCAGCTCATCAGCCTTGTACATGTGATGGACAACAAATTTTTTAACCAAATCAACCAATTCTGGTATCTTGTAGAAATGAGAAACTCGAATGTGAAGAACAGAGTTACCCTGAATGTCTTGTCCCGAAATGAATAATCCTCCAGATTCATACAGTTCCTTTGGAAACGTCTGTTCATCCAAATTGTCCAAACCCAAATCGTGTCTCCACTGCAGTGTATTGACAATGAATTTGATGGATTCACTTGGATCACCTCGACGACGCTTCATATAACGACACAGTAAATTGTCATCAGACATTAATCGAGTCAACAAACCTTTATCGATTTCATTTGAATCTGTAAAGGACCTTAAACCATCTCGAACCGTCTTCATGGCTTCAGTTGAATAGATGGACACATTTTCAATAAATGTTTCAATGTTTTCAATTTGAGGAGCCATTTTGATCAGGACACAAGTTTAATCACAGAGTAAATTTTGGGACACAAATGAAGACTTGGGCTTACAAGTGAATTGAAATTGATTTGAACAAAACTGTGAATCAAATTGAAGTGAGTTGTTGATGAAAATTGTGAGTGATCATGAGTTAACTCTAACCAATCTGATTGGAGACACTCTCTGATTAAGGACACAAATTAAATTTACCAAACCTTTGATTGTCTTTACTTTACATTTCACGTTCTTGACCAATGTCGTTACATTGATAAATAGCCGTGAGGAGTAATCTTTTGAAACTTTCACTCTAATGATGATCAACATGAAATGATGAAAAAAGCCTTGATCAAAGAATCAACAGGAATCTCATTTTTTTTCATCAACAGTTTTTTGCTCTTCTATTCAATTCAGCCAATTGTACAATCAATCACCAATTGATAATTAACTGCATTCTTTTGATCAACTTATTGTTCTTCATTTCATCTTTTGTTGTTAATGGAAGGAAGTGCGAAAGAACAAAGTTTATCGAAAGTTGTCAGAATTTTTTCTTCTATTTCTTCTATTCTTTCTTTCACTATTTATTTTCCGATGGATAACGATTAAAGACTCAAGTAATTTGCTTTTTCGCCAATTTAATCGCCGTTTACCCATTTTCATTGACACGTTAATACGTCTTTCCGTTTCTGAAGGTAAAAAAGATTATTGTGCTTTTAAGGTCTGATTATGAACTGAATCAACTTACAATCAAGTCAAGTGTTGTCTATTAATTGTGATAAAGGAAAACGAAGATGAAAATTTTGTTTGTCCAATGATTTCGACTGAATTATGAATTTAAGCCGCGGGTAAAACCGGTTTATTGTTGAGCCTAGCGAAGGCAAAAGATACACTAGTTAGCTAATGATTCTTGATCAATGAGAGTCATTACCTGACGTATCATCAAAAAAATAAATTATATAAATTGAATAAAAAATCAGTTTCGTTAAGAGAAACCAATTTGTTTACATTGTAGCATCCAAGGACCAAAATCACCACTCATAATAGTTTAGTGTGTAAATAGTGAAAGGAAAATCTAATTGAATAATTTTTCTTGATTTTTCTTGAATGATAAGTTGTTGATCATCATTTTAGGCCGATTCTTAGTTAGACTTTCATTTTGATGCCTTTTGGAGCATATTGCTTCAGTAATCAAATCGATATCACGAATTAGTCTTCTACAGACAATACCACTTCTGGTATATTGTTTTGGAGTAGTGTGTCAAAATGGACTGCTTTAGGAAGCAGAAAGGAAGAACCAGAACCAGATAAACGTTGCCAAATCAATTTCAACGCCAACTCAGAATGTACAATCTCGAAATTGTCATTAACCAAATAAGATTATTATTATATCAATGCCCAATTTTTGACAATTGGAACAGGTACACTCAGTAATGTGAAAGCTAACACGGTTGTATTAATACATGTAGAGTAATGGTTTATTAACAGTTAAATAAAGTCTATTTAAAAACCAAACTCCAGGGGAAACAAATCTCAAAGCATAATTGTACTCAATAACAATTAAACTCTATGATTACTTTTAGATCAAAAATCAATGATTAATCATATCTAAATTCATGTATTACATTTTGGAATACCGTGCCTCAATATTTAACCATCTCTATTTTGTTTTATTTGCTTACTGTTCATTATATCTCTAATAACATGACACGATTATTTACATTTTTAAATTATGTAGATCGTGCATCAGTCCAGAGTTTTGGATTGTTAAAGTCAAATGATACAGTTTAGTTTGTCGGCTTCAAACCAAGTTTTAGATGAATCTTTGAATCAAAGGAAAAGATGGTTTCACTATCCAGAATTTTACATCAAAATCGTTTGCTTCGCGCAACAAAGTACCATAAAACAATGGATGCGCTATTTCGATCACAATTGCTTTACTCTCCATATTTGGATGTTCCCTTTAACCTCAAGATGTTCCTCATTTCAACCCTTTCATTGTTCAATTTGACTGTAGTCACCGCCAAATGCCTTGTTCTTTACGATACTGAATCGTATTCCGATTTGAATTTTCTCATGGGTGACCCAACATTCCACCTGGAAGAAGCTCGTTCCTTTTTGCTACTTTTACTTTTTGATTGGTTAGCAGGTTGTATCCTTCAATACAGCATATTTTTGGTACAATTAGCCGGCTCATCGACTGATAAATACATATGGCTTTGTATTGGTGAGGTATTAAAGACTGGTCAATACAAAAATTGGGGCTCTTTCCATACCATTGTGAAACTGTTTTACCGGCAAATCAAGTTAAATTGTTATGCTTTAGCCGTTGGTTTCCTTTTTCTTGCAAACCTACCAGCAGTCATTTCAGCACCAAGACGCTTCATTCTACCAATGTTCATTCACGCTTTACTCCATAGTTGGGCCGCTTTTATTGCTAGTTCAACAACAGTCAATTTTATTATGCTCTATGCTCTTTATGTGCACGTCTGGTCCAATTATTTGACTCATCTTTCATCGGAATTGGCCAAAATTTTAATACCCGAAAAATATTTACTCAACCAACATAACTTTAGTCTGGATAGCATTAGATTGCCGAGCAGACAGATACGATTGACTTTGATCCATTTAACCGATCATTATCAGGAATTCATACAAAGTTATCGATTTTATGGACTTCGAAATGGTCTCATGTTCATGTGCACCTTTTTTGCCAACACGTTTGTCATGTTTCTCGTCTTCTTCACGCCAATGCCGTCCCTTTATAAGCTTGCTATTGTTTTATGTGGTATCTTTGCCACTCTCTGCGGTCAAATTATCCAATTTTATTCCGGAATTTATGGGCAGTCCAGGGTAAGCAGAACGATGAAGCTATTGGCAGATTTTGACAAAGATTAAGTAAATTTTTTTAATTTTAGTCTGACCAGGCCATGCGTATCATCCGAAAGATACTGTACACTAAATCATCATCACGCTCAAGATTGATTGTCTTGCTATTCAGTGATCATTTTGTTGAACGGCACTTTTTCACAATTTATGGTTCATTGCAACAATCATCCAAGAATTTAATTTTGGTAAGATGTAATTGTTCACATAACGATATAATTCATTGAGTACTAATTTGATTGATATTTTACTAGACTATAGCTGAATCAAGCACTCTTTTGCTACTCTTGATTACCAATATTGGAAGGCGAATTAACTATTCATGATTATGATATAAAATGAAAAGGTAAAATGATAAATGTTTTAATTTTCTTGGTTGTTATTTAAATACGATACACTGATGAAAAAAACAAGATTAGGATCGGTTTTGACGTGAACAGTTCAATTGGTCAGACAAAAACCAAAGTTGATTTTGTGTTGGTGATAAATAATACTTACATACTTTTAGTAAATTATAGTCAATTTAAATCATTGGGATTGATTGATGTTAAATTATGTGTGGATACTTTGTGAAGTAAATTTTGCACTCTCTTCAAAACTGCATCAGGAATTGTTCGTGTACTAAAACTTGATACTTGATTTTCTGTCGATTCTTCCGAATCAGCTTCGTGTTTAGGACTTGAAGCTTGTGATTCTTTATCTCTCTCCTCTTTACATGTTGACAACAATTCACATTTAACTTTTCCCTCAAGTCCACAGACACATCTTTGACAAGGTTTGAGCGGATTAATTGTTATTCTTTGACCGGGTCTATATATTTCCTGTCCATATTTACAGGTAACTTCTTTAGTAATACTTGATAATCCTAAAGATGGCAAGGATAAAGACGAATCAGAGGTTAAACGAGGCTGGCGTCCAGTTAAATCTTTTACCGCAGCGTCTTTGGCAGCTAAAGCTATAGCATGGTAAATAACCAAACGAATTAGAATAAGAATGAAATAAAAATGTATCAATTTAACAATGTTATTCAAACGAATGTAATAAAATGGTAAAATTTGATGATATTAGAGTGTAACTTACGGCATTCCAGTATCGGACAACAAAGGTCTTTAATTTTTATCTCTTTACATCCTTGACGACCCAATGATTGTGGACAGTTGATATTCCAGCAAAGGATCGATCCTTTATAACAGAAACACTTCTCACATGGATCATCTGAACGGGTCAAGTTAGATCCATGAGAATACATGACTCCTTTAGAGTAGCAACTATCAAATCCAGAGCGGCTAGTCCCATATTTGGATGAGGCTTTTTTAATAGTCGATAACTTGGCTGTCTCTGGTAATCACAAAGAAAGGATAAATGAAACATAAATGAACTGACAAATGTTGTGAATCATTGATGGCAAAAACTCTTGATGTAACATATGTTGTTAAGGGCGCGTTAAAAAATTTAATAGTTGTTATGTAATGAAAAGAGTTATTACCTGGAAATGAGTTGACCATCGAAGTACAATAAGTCAATGTAAGTAAAACAATTATTACCGAAACCATGGTTAAATTCAGGGAAACAGACATTATTTAAGTGTATGAAGTTGAAGATTTGTTAGAAATAAATGGACGGTGGGAAAGATTATGATGACTGAAAGGTTAAGGTTGAAAGATGAAGATAAAGAGTTTGTTAGACAATGAAATTGAAGATTGTGAGCTTCTCATTATTCATCATTATTAGAAAGGGTATAAAGTTGATAATGATGATGAGGAGGAGACGCATGAACCATTGAACTATACCCTAAAATAGTAGAAATGGTTTACGTGATTAGTTAACGTTAGATTGGCAGTTGACTGATGATCGGGACAATTGAGACAAAATATTAAAGACAAGTGAAGATGAGGAATCTTTAGGACAAAGGAAGCGAAACGATTGTGAATGGTGATGATAATGATGGTTGATATTGAACAAGTGGTTATAATGGGCTTGAATTTTTGACATTTGCATTCCCATTTAATTGAAAAATATTGGTTCACTTAAAAAAGTTCACAATTTAACGTCAATTGATTCAGTCTAATTATTGGACAAGTTTGATCTTGATTGTCTTTTCCATTAACTGTATCACACTATAATAAAAATTGGACCATTTCATGATTGACTGTGAAGAAGTTATTGATTTTGGAAAGTTTGCTTTCACTTAGCAAAACCATTTATTTGATAACAATTATTGTCAGTCAAGTTGTCAGCATTTGGCTTATTTAATGTCCAAAGTCGGCCCAATCAATGGCTTTACATTGACACTTACATTCAATTCAAAATTAACTTTTCAACATCTGTTTGATGATCAAAATATACAAACTATGTTTATTTATATTTGCTGTTACATTAAAAAGTTTCATTTTACAATGAATCAAGCTCTTGGGTTTCAAGTATTAAAGTGAGTTTAAATTGTTATTGAAATTGACTTTAAAAATTAAAATCAAAGGTAATATATAATGTAAAAAAGACGTTTACAAATTGATGTAAAATTGTAAAACGCAAATTCGGACAAATGCAAAGCAAGATTTAGGATAATTTTACAATTTGTGAAGTACTGCTTCGCAATTTAAGTTTATATGGTGAAAATAGTTGATTGAAATAAGTAGATATTTATAATTGTTAAATGGACGTAATTAAAAAGGATGGATTTCGTTTGATTATTGGTTATCTTGAATAAATGTCAATGTCTGAAATAGATTTTTGGTGGACAAACTTGAATTCCAAGGCTTTATAAGGCATTCACAGTTGAAGAGTTTTGTCTTGATTCCGTTTCATCCAGGTAATATAATCTGAATATCATTAAATATATTTGATAGAATAAAAAAGAAGGATTAAAATAATACTGATTAATCAGGATTGACATCATTGTCTAATCATCAATCCTTCAATCAATCTGGTCATCTTGCAAGGAACCATTCCAAGTGTCTTTTCAGTGTTTTCAAATTTCCGTTGCCAGTAAATTTATCAAACCAAGCTTAGTTAGTGCACTGACAGTTGAAATTATAATTGATTTTTATGTGTCCTGGGCCAATGTGAGTCCATAGTGAAAAATTTTCCTTGATTGCAGTTGAAAAAATAGGGAACCAAGAAATTCATTAGCAAACTAGTGATTTTGATGATATTTTTGAATAGATAACATTCAACATTTGGCTGAGTAACTAAGAAGAGTTAACAAAATTTGATATTTGGTGGTAACTGTTGAAAATGTATAAGTATTATGGCAGTCATGCGATAGAGTTATAATTATCACAGGCTAAGTGTCCTGTAATTGATGACATTCAATTGGAGCTGAAAATGGATTGCAGCTGAAGCTATAAATTTTTGTGTACAAAATAATTTGCTTTGCTTTTCAGTGTAGAAGTTGAAAGACAGGTGAGCATATGTAGAAGAATAGATGAAAGTGTTGATTAAAATTGGAAAATTCAGTAAAGGATCAGCTATCGTCAGAGTCTTCAGTTGGCACCTAGAATGAAGAAGAAAGAAAAAGTATTGTAAATATTTGAGTAAAAAATTAATAAAGTACAAGCGTGAAAAATTGTTGATAAATTGATCAAATGAACAAGTTCAAATCTTTTCCAAAGCTATGTCTCAAGGAAAATTCAATTTTAAATCAGTATTCGTGTAAAATTACTGTAAATTGAAACTTTTTTGTCTGAAATCTATTCATTGTTTGTACGTCATTTTGGTCACTAAAAATTCAATTATGCTAAAAATAATTGAACTTGAAAAGCGACAAAAATGACAATCATTTTTGTAGTTAGTGTCAATTTTACAACAGTTAACTATTGAAATATCGTTAATAAAAATTACCAAATGATGTTTTTCAGTTGAAAATAATTGAGATCGATAAAAGATTATTGTAATCATGAAAACAATTATAGCAATTGATGCTTGGATGGCTGCCGAAACGTTAAGAATCAATCCAAGAGATTGCAAAAGTCGCACTTGACTAGCCATTGATTCATCCAATTCAGCTCCCTATTATAATTAATTAAAAAATAAATAGTCAATAAAAGATAAATAATAAAATTTGAATATAAATCTTACCGCGCTGAACCAAATCATAGGGAAGTAGGAACTTTCAAAAGGTAAACTCCTAGCATATTCAAGATTATCATCTCTTTCCAGGAGGACGTTTATTTGCATTGCTACTTTTACTTTCGTAGGAATACCAAGTGTCTGAAAGAAAAAGAAAATAATTGTTAATAAATGACCACAAGAGTGTTTAATTCCTGTGAAAAGCTTGAAAGATTGGTCAAGTAGGATTCACCACAATTACATGTATCAAGTGAAATTCACAAATTTTGACTTTTTCATCAATCCATTGAAAATATTAGAAGAAATGCTGAAAACTATGGTGAACCATGAGAAGAAAGAATTGAACAAAACTATTGATTATTATCATTGCTAAAACTCAAACCATTAACAATTAAGTTTACCAGCAATTAAATTATTTAGATTTGAACAACAGTCATAATTGTCATTGAAAATGATTTAAGAGTTAATGGTTTGTTTGTTTGTGTTAGTTGGTTGAAAGTTTAATTTGCAGTACAAGTCGTCATGAGTTTCACTTCTTTAACAATTAAAAGTTTAGGAATCTGAAATTGTGAACAATTTACAGAAATTCAACCTTGCCCAGGGCTGACTGTGTGGCCACTGAGGTTAGGCATGATCATTAAACATATGAATTAAATTAAGTTAACATCAGAAATAACTTAGCAATAGAGATTTCAAGAAAAGCTAACCAGAAATTAACATTTAAAAGATTCAGAAGAGACAGAAAGGAAATGGTAAGCAAAATTTCCCGTCTGTAATGATTACAAAAAAACAAACACAAATCGGTATATTAGGAACGTAACCGGATTTAATTATTAAATTATTATCATTCTTTATTTGTATAACCAAAGGATTCAATTTTAGAGTTGATAATAAAAAATCTATCAATGTCAGAATATGCTAATAGGGAAACTAAACCAAGAAGAAAACAAATTGCTGTGTTAAAAAGATAATTAGCGTTAATTGAACCTTTAATAATAGACTTGAAACGTGAAACAAACATTCATTATTATTAATAATCTTAAATGGTCTTATAAATGAATCATTCAATGTAATCAAGTACACCTTGAGTGCAAGTGATTTTAAAATTGATTTTCAAAATTATCCAAGTGATAGCCTTAAGATGATCTGATGGCTAATGAACAATCATTTTTCAACTAGAGAATCCAATTTCCTTAAATCAAAATGACCATTGAACATTTTCCAACCTATTAAATCTGTTAAACTGATAACTTGGCAAAAAATTTGATGGGAATATTAATTATATTCACACCATAACACTGAATTTAAATACATTTTCAAGTGTCATTTGATAATCAATTATACATTAATGTATGCATATTGAAATCAGATATTGAGATCAGGTTTGTTGGTTAACAATAGCTTTGAAACACTGTTTGAATTTCAATCTAAATCTGGTCGATTGTTGAATTACATTGAATTGGAATCAATATCATGGGAAATCCAATAATCGATAGACTTTCATGTAAACAATCGGTCTTTAGTTTTGATTAAAAAATCAACTATGAAAGGTTCAAAGGCTCGAAGGTTACAAATGTATATTTTTTTATCATAATGAGGCTAATTGAGGGTTTAAATTGTGTAATAAGATACCTTTGTGATTCTTGAGAGGTGACCTGATAGTTGATGAAACATTAGATTGAACAGAGTTGAACAACGGCGAGATTTGTCAATTGTTGATACAAATCATTGGAAAATGAGGGATTTCATTATTGCTGCACTAAATAATTTCCTTAGGATTGATAATAATTGATTGACTGTTCCTAATGGACTGAGTGATAATCAAGTGAAAATAGGAGGAATAACGATAAGTTACCAGAAATAAAAACATTTATTGTTTACTATTAGCAGCTAATGAAGTATCAACACACTTTTATAAATTTACTTGAGTGTGTCTAAGAAGCTATCAGCCTCGAGTAATAAATTAATTTTCAAGAGGCAATCACTAGCTGATGTTATCTTTAAATTATCATTTTTGGTACATTTCGAGATGAAATGAGGAAGAAACAATGTAAATGGTTTGAAACATCAAAATGCTTACTGGTTCAATGTCCATGAAAAACTCATGTCTATCCAAGTCGGGATGGAGACCGTGGACTCGTTCGTATAACGAGGCATCGCCAAACAAAAAATGGGGCAAAGATGCTGCTGCAGGTGATCCATGTTGACATGGTGATATATCAGCTACACCATCAGGAGGACAACTAGAGAGAACAATCAGAGAAGTAGAAATATTATTAATTTGGTAAATAAAGGAGTAATGATTGTTATATGTTTGAAATCACGTGTAATATAGATATTAAAAAGGGTAAAGTAATCAAGAAGAAAACTGAAATTTTGTATTTCAAGGCTAGTCAGTTGATTTATCAAGTTCATTTTGTATATTAACCAAACTGTAAATGCCTTTCAAAAGGTCAACATAGCATTTTAGTTGATAAATGTTTACATTGTTGATTGCTACTTGCTTTTACTCAGATAAGAGGCAATTGTGCCTTTTATAAATGATATAATTTTTGATAATTCACGTGATTTATATTATTTTTTCATCATTACTTACGCATTGTTGTTACAATAGCAACGATTGTTTTTAACTGTATAATTGAATAAATTTGAGCTGGCCGCATATCTGTAAGCTTTAACTCCATGCTTTATCACAGTTTTGTCATATGGAAGCTCCAAGGATCGGCAAATATCACCGACAAATATTTTAATAGATGAAAATGGACCTTCTTGTAGAGGTGGTTGAAAATCAGAGGCAGAAATGCCAGACAATGAATTACACTTGTCACCCCACCAAAGGCTTAAACTGGTTTGATTATTCCAGGAATACATTGCATCAAGATGATTGACATTTGAAAGGCCAGTGTAAACTCCAAAAGTGCCATCAGAAACGGTTCCATTTCTGCCATAAAACCAACCAAATTTATCATATGGCACAGGCATCCCAATGGTACGTGAAAATGTGATTAAAGGATCGTCATAGCCTTCAAAAAGTAATTGTCCAACAGTATGAGAAGGAATTAAACGACTTTTCGTTGCCTTGATTATTTGGTTAAGTCCAAAATAGGCAATTCTAGATCCGCCCCAGCTTTTAATTGAGTATCCAGCAGCCTAGAATGAAAATGAAATGAGAAGAATTAGATAAACTGAATAAAATATAAGCTTAATTGTGATCATAGACTTGTGTCCGTTATTAGATTAGCAAATAAACATAAGTACATTCAAACTGAGAACATTGGTATTTTGAGTTGGTAAATGAACTTTAGGAAACTTAGCATTGTTTGAAAAATTGGATGCTTAGCTTTTGTAGATTCACTCATATTTCATGAATATTTAATTAGACCAAGGAAATCAAAATAGCTGTAAACAACTGCCTTTTCTTGCACAAACAAAAACACGTGTAACTCAACACTAGAGCATCAAGATAAATTTTGATTGCTATTAATAGCATCAACTGAGTTCAAGCACTGGCGAGAGTTGGCTTGAACTTAGTCTCATGATAACCTGTTCAGTCAGAATAAAAGGTACTAATCAATGACAATTTACGAGTAATTTTTATCTTAATAGAAATGAATTCTGGTTAAATAGTTTCCTACGATATCATGTAAAATTTACTTTACAAAAATCAAATAAAATTATATTGAATCGAGCTTTTTGTTCAAATAAAAAATGCATGAACGAATCATTTTAGCGTCAATTTATTTTGTTGATCATGTAATATTAAACTTTGTCTTTTGATTGCTAGGATATTTTATTAAGTTTATTGAGTTGCTTTAGCTTAATTAATAGCTGTTTGCTGACTTATTTGATCTCAAATTTAAAAATAGATTTTATCAATTCCCAAGATCTGTCAAATGTTTAACTTGCTCAAAGATTCAGGTTGATTAAATAAACAAAAAGAGAGGCTCCAACAATCAAATTAGCTGCTTAAAGATTAATATCATTTTGATCATCTTACAAGTAATTATTAGTAAATGTAATTAAGAACATGATTCGTGATCTTCCAGCTTAACGATTCCAGGAAAATTTCAAAGTAGTCTCAATTTATTTGAAAAATGGTTGGTAAAGTGAAAGTGTTATCACAACAACAATGAAAAAAATTAATGAATACTTGATATTGAAAAGATATCGATAAAAATTGCATTAAAAGTTCTGTGAAAAAAATCTGAAAAGCCGATAATGTCATTATAATGTAATATCAAATAAGGTATTTGCTAAAGTTTCAAAACACATCTCATATGACAGAGATGAGTTTTGATTTAAGTTGAAATAATGGATTGGGATAATCATACACTGATTTAAGGGAAACAAGGTTGAAATTGTGATTTACAAAAACATTATAATCACAAGCGATAACACAATTTAACCTAATTTCTTGGGGTATTTAAACATAATAACTTGATAATATTACAATATGTTGAATGCCTCTTATTTCATCTGACTGAATCAATCTATCCAAGGTAATTTCCAGCAACAAATGCCTGAAAAACCTAAATACCAATTTGTCTAATTGGTCAATAGGGAACTCACAATGGCATCGAACTATTGGGTTAAATAAAGTACAAAGTAATAACATTAATAAATTGGTGCAATATTGGGTTGTTGTTTGATATAATCTAATATCGCTTCTCATCAGCTATTATTATATTAATATTTACACATTTACCAAAGATTGATAACTAATATCAGAGATTTTTAACAGAGGTTTAAAGATTAGCTTAAAATCGGCTGTGTTGCATAAACAATTGATTTATTGAAGTTTCATTTGAAAGTTTGAAGGGAAAAAGTTTCAAGGATTGTAATTTATAAAAAATAAATATAAAATTTATTAAAATCTTTAGTCCCTGTCAAATTGATAAGATTCATGAATTCATATACATATATGAAAAAGGCTTTCTTTAAGCACCCGTTAAAATTTTACCGTTTTAGCTGAGAGTTGGTACTTCAGGGCTGACTTTCAGGGCATGAAAACAATTCAATAGTTTAAGATAAAGTTATGCATTTCTTCCACTTGCCTCAACTCATCTGAATTTCTTAGAACCGAATTTGAGAAAGCCTTGACTATTTTTCGTTAATGTAGTCCAATCATGACTTTCATGAAAATTTTCCTTATAACCCGCTCAGTTTGACCACAATTTTTAGGGGAAAATTTGATGTTTGGACTTTATATTGGGCATTGCATAAATACACAATAAAGAAAAGCAAGCTTTTTCTTAAAATAGAGATTATTCTTACTAAGTTTGCACCCGAATATAAGACAAAAAAGTTTTCTGTTTGCTATTAAATGTTTGCAATCGACATAAAGTCAACATGAAAGATGTAATTAGCAAATGGTGACCCAAAAAATTAGACTTATATACGCAAACAAGGGAGTTGATCATATTTTGAAGTAAACTTACCACCATAGGGACGTTAAGGTGGTAAATATTGTCTTCGAGTGATCCATTTGTTAAATGAGGTAGAAAGTGCCAGGTCCGTTGCTGTCCATATTCAACTAGATTAAGATCATCCGACCAAGATATGTTGATCTTTTTACGAGACTCGGAAAATGTGTATGGACCTTAGAGAAAGAAAAAGGATAATTTTTTATTGGTAATCAATAACTTGCAGGCTAATTGTTCTATGTATCATTCAACGAAATGGGAAGTAGATTACTGAATATGCAGAAATTGTAGCCAATCAAGAATAACATTTTTCAATATTATTGACTACTTTGAAAATCTATTGCTATATTTACTAATAGACTAACAACACTTAGATTAAAAAACAAAAACTTGCTTTGAAGTTGAAAAAATATTCTAAGTGCAGGCGACATGGGAAAAGAAGCAACCTTGAATAAAGAAATAAACACAACAATTACCATTACAAAGCTACTCGGTTTGCCAGTGCAACATGCACATCATTTGTTGATAATTTTCTTGCAACCCTAAAATGTAACTCTAACGAACCATGTTGAAATGACAAAATTTATTGCTTTCGACAGAATAAGATGAAAAAAAGAGTTTAGATAATAGGTTCTAGGTAGATGGATCAATTTTAGTTGTTGATATTTTTAGGTAAAAAAGTAATTTCGAACCAGTTTTGCATGTAAAAATAGATTGACTTACCCAGCTCTTGGACTGTTGGTGGTCGCCCATGTTTTTCAACTTCCTCTGGATTTGTAATGTTGAACAGATAAAATTTGGTAATAATTGATATTGGAACTGATTCCCATTTGTCGAATGTACGTGAAGATGAACTGTTGATTAATGGAAGACTCTGGGAAACCAAAGCAAAGAGACGCCACAAAATGTAACCGAAAACAAAAGGGAAAACATTAATGGGTTATTAAGCTTTCATTATTTAAAATAACAAAAGGAGTGAAAGTTGAATTGACAGGGAAATGATTTTAAGTAACTTGCGACGCAGGTTAACATAATAAAGAAGTTAGTTTACCTTGACAATAGATGATTTAATCACAATTGGCACAAGAAAAAATGTAACAAAACTTGAGAAAATAAGAGCTAATGAAACAAAAAGTAGAAACTTTGGTCGAGAACTAAAACAATTAAATAAACCCATAATAAAAAAGGTGAACTGACTAAGAAATCAAGTTTCTTTGAACTCCTTATAATTGTTGTTTCTTATCGTGGTTGAATGTTCAATATAAACTAGATGACAGAATTGAATTAAATAATATCCAAACTTATCCATCATAAATAATTTTATCGCCATTAATAACACCCTAATCTCCCTTTCTCTATCTACGACTCTTTGCTCCTTTCTCTTCGCTCTTTTCTTTTCTCACTCTGTGGCTACTATCGATTCTTTAATCGATAAATCGAAGTTTCGTATTATGATTCATGCAACGAGTAATATTGTAACAGTATTACTGTTATAGTTATACTTTTCATGTGTTTCTGTTGAAATTTTTTATTTTATTTTTTGGCCATTTGTGATTTATTTGTGATTAAGTTTTTTTCAGGTCTTTTAACATGATTTGTCAATTAGTCAAGAAGATTGCTTGGACTAGATATCATTCAAGTAAGTATAATCTTTGTTTTCATCTGTGTTTTATAGAGAAATGAAATTTCACAGCCTTTTAATTGAGATAATGAGAAGAATTTCAAAGTTTCAGAAAAGATGAATCACTGAATGATCAGAATTCAGGTTATTCAGAAAAAGCTAGGTTATGAGACGAGACGAAATTCTCGTCAAAACACTTAAAAGGCAAAAACGTGAATATTCTAATCTGACGTCGGAATCATTTGTGATTTATTTCAAAAAAGTATCTGAATACTAAATTTGCTAATTTTTTTTCTTTCTTTACAAGTTTTTTGATTTAGTAAGTGCAAACTATGAAAATAAAATTCCCAACTCTTTTTGTTTACAGTTTCAATGAGCATTATAAACTCTCATGATTACGTATGATCACGGAATCAACTTCTCCAGTGAGGATGAATTGCGAAGGCTAAGGTGATCGAGGATGATCGATGGATTCCATTGCACGTTTTTCTTGACTTGAAGAAATTGGCTGCAGCAACAAGTGGTTGTTGAATCGATGAAAGACTCTACTACAGATATGGGCAAAATTGATCAATCTGGAAATAAGATTAGACGATGTACTGCTCCAAAGCCTTTCCAAACATTAACAGAATGTCCAACTTGGTCTTTAAAAATAAAGTTCATGCCAGGTCTTCGAGGATCAGGAACTCTATTCAGCCAGCTTTGGCCAACTTTACCAATCTCTTAATGCATTTAATCTTTAAGCTTTGGGTATTTTACCATTTTGGGTATCATTTGCAATTCTTTACCAAAGAGTGCCGAAAGATTTAAATTTAAGCAGCAATCAGCTCATTCTCTGTGAAGTCCTACTTGAGAAATAGCGACTTATTTTTTCGATATTTCTATTGCTCTTAGGTTAATTTTGATCCGATTCATTTCAATTTCTTCTAATATAAGATAGTTCAATTTACTCTCTCTAAATATCAATCAGAAAATTTATGTAATCGAATCAAATGATATTTTAAATTAAACTTGGTTCATTAAACAAGATTTAAATTATGAAATATGTCCTACGAATATTTAATGTTCACGATTGTTTGTTTGACGGATTTGCTAAGTAAAAATGTATACATCACACTTTTAATGCTAAATATAATAAATATTTAATAAAACTGTTAAATCTCTCAATAGCATATTTAATATTCACAATAGACAGACACTGGAAACACTATTTACCAAATAATTATTGGTTAGTAACTAGATGATAGAGTTTAAATTATCTTAGTTCCTCTTCTAAACTCTAGAAATATTGGTCTTTCATGCTTCTTTTTGACGTCCATCGTAAACAAAATCATGGAAAAATCCGACTTTTGGGCTCTGAGCGATTAAGGCCGCATCTATACAATTTTCAGTACAAATATTAACTCGAAATTTTAGGATTAAAAACTAATCTCTTCTCTTTCCTCTTTCTTCCTCTCTCTCTCTCTCTTTCTCTATGAAATTTTTCAATCTATCGATTCAAACATCGATATCGTCTCATGATTCATGTGGCTCTTTCAAAGAGCCTCTTTGCACATTCGGATACTTTAAACAGTGCAATACTGCATGTGCTTCTGTTGTTATTTTTGATTTTTATTTTGTGATTTAATTTTATTTATCAAGTTTTAAACATGACGAATACTGAATTAAATGAGAAGATCGCTTCTCAAATGAAATATTATTTTAGTGATTACAATTTAGCTAGGGATAAATTCATGAAGGAAAAGATGGCCGAGGACGATGGCTGGATTCCATTGCACGTTTTTCTTACCTTCAAGAAACTTGCTGCGATGACCAGTGATCCACAAGTGCTTGTGGAATCAATTAAAGCTTCTGCCACTGACCTGATTGAAATTGACGAATCTGGAAGCAAAATTAGACGATCTCCTAGCAAACCTTTACCAGATCAAAGTGTCTACCAGGAGGAAGCCATCCAAAAGACTGTTCACATTAAAGGATTTCCACTAGATTCTACGTTTGACCAGCTTTGGTCATTCTGTAGTGGTTTTGGTGATCTTGAGTCATTACAAATGAGGAAAACACGTAAAGGCGGTTTCAAGGGTTGTGTACTCGCTGTATTTAAAGACAAAGCGGATGCTGCAAAAATTCTTGAAGTTTCATTAAAGTACAACGACAAGGAACTTTTAAAAGAAGCTGAAAAAGCACATGTAGAACGACGACAAGCATTTTTCAACAAGAAAAGGAATGGGAAAAAGAATGCAAGAAAGAACGAGGAATCAGAAGAGTCAAAAGGAGTTAAAAAGTTGAAGGTTGATAAAGCAGAAGAATCAGAGGAATCCGAGGAACCAGAGGAATCAGAAGGTGTTGAAAAGTTGAAAGTCGAGGAACCAGAGGAACCAGAAGGAGTTAAAAAATTGAAAGTTGAAAATATTGTTTCTTCAACAGCTTGATTAAACATCAATTATGCTTAACTCCTATTTTTCCTTTCTCACTCATCAAATTTCATATATCTCTATTTATCATTGTATATCATCTTTTTTTTCTTCCCCTTTCTCCCTTCGCTTGAACACTTTTAGAGTAACACCAATCCTTGTAAACAGAATCAATCTAATCTGTCTTTCCTTTCTAAATAATGTTTTTGAGTCTTTGAGTCTTTCATTTCCATCATACATCACTATACATAGAGGAGGAGGTGGAGCGATCATTTAACAATCTCAAAGACGTTGATACGATCTGTGAGTTACTATGGATTTAGATTTTGAAAGTCTTTTTCCGATTAATAAATATCTAATAAAATAAATGGAAGATTTAAGATGACCATAAATTAATTTGTTTGTCCTACTTGAAAGCCCATAAGAAATCGCGGGAAAATAGAGCACACTTGTGAATTATGGGTTGATTTAACCGCCCTTTTGGTTGAACGTGGCATTTTTGTAGACTTCTATAACTCTAGTAAGTTAAACCTCAAGCTTGACTTGAATGGCGCTCAAGATTTTTTTGGAAGACAAATTATCGAGTTATATTGGTAATTTAGTTTAATTTTAAATGATTTAAAGAATATTTAGGATGCAGAATGGTCAACTAATAGTTAGCAAAAAGTAATTTTTTTTTAAACTGAAATAAATGATGCAAAGTTAATGATGAAAAAGGAGGGAAAAGGAACGAGCAAAATTTTTTTTCCTAGATTCCAAGAAATAAGGTCTCAATGAGACTATTTCTGGTTACAAAAACAGTTTTTAACAAAACAACAATTGTCAAATGAAAGTTTGTAAAGACTAAGAACGTATAAGAGGTAATAGAGAAGGAATCAAAATTATTTTTTGACAAGTAGTGTTGTTAGGGATGATGATACGAAAAGGGATAAGATAACCAAATTTATATTTTTCTCTTGACTGCTTGTCGTAATGAATGTTTTTTCTTGGGGATGGAATTCTCGGTAGTAGAGTGTCCGTTTGTTACCACTTCGTCGTCAAATTTTTTGACCTTTCTGCCTCTCGATGAGACTCTTTTTGGAGCTGTGGTTCTGGGTGAGGTTTTTGCTGCAACTGCAGCTCCTCGCTTGGCTCGGGTAGAAGGGGCTACTGGTGGTGGCTCAGTAGTTGAAACTTTGGCTGCAGTAACTGCTGCTGCTGATGTTTTCGCTTTACGTCCCCTTTTAGGTTTAACAACAATTTCATCACCACTATTCTGAATATTGGCGGCTTCTCCACTTCTTCTATTTGCAGATCTCCGGGTAACAGTTCCATTTCCGTTAACTTGATCATCAGCCTCTTTTGAAGTACTTTGGCCAGGCTTAGCAGCTCTTTCGCGCCGTTTGTAATCTTCGATTAACTCTGGACATTTCAAATTATCGACGGGTTCCCAAGTATTATCTCGTTCACCGTAACCTTTCCATTTTAGCAAAAATTCAACTTTTCCGTTTTTGATTCTTTTATCAACTATCTTTTCCACGATGTATTCACTTTCACTGGTTGTAACCTTTTCATTTGATTTCTTCTGTCTTTTGTTTGGTGACATGTTTGTTTTTCTTGTAGCAAAAGCTAAATATTATGAAATTATGATGATGGTGGTGATGGAAATGGTGAAAATAACGATGAAACAGAATTCTTCACTCTTAAGGCACAAAAAAAAGAATTAAAATCGTTCGCACTGGAACAGCAAGGCAGAAAATCAGATGAAAGGATAGAAATGAGAAACAAATAGATGAAACAAATACGTAATAGGCCAAATAATTAACCTATTAGCATAATTAACTAGTAATTAGTTTATTTTGTAAATAAAGTGGTTAAAAAATTGAATTATTGGACAGAAAAAGAAAGGAAAGTTGCAGGCTGTCTTAGTTAGGCTAAAAAAGAGGGAGAATTAAGAAGAAAGACAAAAAACAAGAACATGGTTTGTCGATATATCGGTTTAGTAATTGCTATCGATGGTCATAAAAGCAGAAGAGGAGCTTACTCTTTGAGAAGAGGGCAGGACATCTGCTGGAAGTTACCAAAAACAGTCGAAGGATTAAAAATTTATCTTGAAAATGTTGATGAACTTATCAGATTGAACTAATAGCCTAAAATAATTGAATAAAATGATTTAATACACTGAACTTGTATTCTGATAAATTGATAGATCAAATCAAATCAGCCCCAAGCTCAATAAATTTATATTTTTTTGAAAAATACTTGTTGATCTGAAAAGATAATTGAACAAATTATTAGTAGCTTTTCATTTCATGAATCAGAAACATAAATTCATGAAGACTTTGAAAAATCGAGAAAAATGGCTAAATAGGAAAAGCGCGATTTATTGATGAAATGTAAGATCGTCTTATAATATTGAATTATTCAAATTAATCTTGTATTTATGAATCTCAATCGGGTTTATCTGGTTTAGGTCTGGGTTTTGAGTGCTATACTAATCAAAAGATGGCAACACTTAATTTGTTTGCTTTTCGCTTTCCTTGTTTCATCCCACGGTCGAGTTTTATGATTTAATCCTATAAGAAACTTAATTTTTAAATTAGTTACAATTGGACTTTTCTTTGTTTTTCATATTATGTTTATTTGGTCGTTAATTGGCCTTATTTCTAGTTGAGACATAGATGTGATAAAGAATAAATTGACCGAGTAAATAAACAGCAATTTCTTGCTTGTAAACTTTCATTTTATTACAATATTGTATTTAAATTTCTGGTAAAGTCTCTCAATCCTACCTATTACTGACTTTGGTTGATTTATTTTTATTATTGGTGTTACTATTTCTTCTAAAGTTGATCTACAATTAAATCTTCACTTATCCATGATAATCGCTTTACTGAAAGATGTTGGTAAATACTACTTGTGATAAATAATCTTGCTCTTCATGGAGAATGCAAATGTTTGTTTTGTGGGAATCCTCTAACCTTTGGATCGAAAGTTCAAAATTAATTGTTAAATTGATTTCATTCACAGGCTGGTATTTACAGTTAATTGTTGATTTAATATTTACGGTAGCAATTATCATCATTACAATCATGGCAAAAGCCAAATGGAAGGTCAATTTGAAAGCTAGAATTTCAAAGTGAAGTAATCACACCGGGCAACTGTTAGCAACAGCAATCAGAAACCTAATCACTGAAAACTTAAGCCTGTAGTGTAGCCACACACACATATGCACTAAACAATTAGCTACAATAATTGATTGTTAATTTATTTAGTTACCAAGGGATATTTAAGTATGTTTGTTTGACCAAGAAACGATGAAAATAATGGCAGACAATTGCTGAGCATAAATAAATATATGCATTGTAAATGGAGAAGACTTATTTTTAATCGTTTTTTTCATCAACCAACCCTCATTTTAATCCGATTCAATCTTGTTCTAACCTAGAATTGAAATGTGTTTAATGATAATTTATTTGAGATTAAAATCATTAATAAATCAGTGATAAAAAGTAGTGAAAATATTCACTAAATCAACCTGAACCAATCTATTCAAAGCTCAAACCTATTCAACAAAAGTAGAGATCAAGTAAATTGATGTTCAATTATGTACCCGTTAAAAAATGGCATAGGACAATCAACTTTTGTTCATTTTTTAACCGTTCAAGTTTATAATGCAGAATCAAGATAAGGTCACTCAACTGGTCATTAGACTTTTTTGCTGGTTTTTAATAAAGTCAAGCCTCATCTCATGACATGAACTCAGCTATCCTCATTGGAATCCGGAAATTACCTGAATTTACAAAATGATGATACATATTCAATCATAATTTAACGATGAGAGCATCATTTTTAACAAATAATTATTTCCTTCATGGAACAACTTAGCTAAATATTCCTCATCTTGATAGGCTTGACTATTGTGTAGAAATATTTCTCAATCAATCAGATTGTTTATCTTTTCCATGAACTGATTGTTATTGTAATCGGGTTCCTGATCCTTGTATTTGATGGTTGAATTTATGATGGAAAATTTCATTGGCATTGTAAATCATTGGTCGGTATCTTAATTTTTCAGCATGAGACTTTTGTCGTAATATAATAATTAAAACTAGTCCATTTAATCTGATTCGATAAAAATTAATACATCATTAAAATATTTTTATATCAATTCACAAAACAGCTGAGAGGTGTGAAGAGGCAGGTACGGGAGGTTATTAATGAGGCTATATAACTCTGTCGTGAATGAGATCAGTTTGATGAAAATAATTAAGTGAAACAAATAAATATTTGCTGTCCAGTTTTCACAGATTTAAATTGCATTTATATCTCCAGCCATAGATAATAGGATAAAAACAATCAACAGAAAAGCAGTTCCTAAGAAATCACCTAAAGCTGTCAAGATAGGAATCGAAAAATTATCAGGATCAGTTCCATTCCTCCACAAAAGTGTAACCAAATTATGAGCAAAGTAAAGGAGAAGAGCGACCTGGAAAATGATAGAATCATAACCCAAATTAACAACAAATAAATCAATAAATCAGAGGAAATGCAAATAGTGTTCTATTATAATTTAGGTTGACTAGATTCAAAGGAAAAATTACCTGAAATATTGCAAATACAAGGTAAATCGAGAAGAAAAGAATGGTGATTTCAAAGCCAGTGGCACCCTTTATCAATCTGAAGACGATGAGGTACAAAATGTGAGCCGGTAGTGATATCGTAAGTAACATTCGAGCAGTGCTGATATTGATGTTGGAACCAATGAAGACTCGATATGGTATTAATAAATATTCAATACTTATAGGCAGGCGACCTGGTTGACCCTGTCGATGAAGATATGTCGATATTCGGCTTGCTTGGACAGCGACTAGATTACCACCAACACCATTAATAACCGGTTGGAACATGGCTAAACGTTCAAATCGATTAGTAGCCACATCCAATATGTAACCTCCCAGACTTGAAATTAACATTGCCAAAATTATTGGGAGCCAGCCTGAGTTGGTGAATAACCAAGATAAATGAATGGAAAGAACGAGAAATGAAGAAGTATAAATAACTTACCGCAAGTAACAACATCAAATGTGTGTTCATTTTTCCATGCAGTGTATATCCAAAAGGGGAGAAGAGCAAACAAAATTGCTATAATGATACACGAAGGTATTGATATTGTTCCTGGAGGAGCGTGATTTTGAATTAGTTGAGCAAATGAAGCTAATAAACTTAAGGTAACTACATCGCCAACAGAAGCAGCTAAAGGCGTAGCAACATTATCTGGATCAATTTCAAATCGGTGGGAAAGAACGATAACACCAACCATGCAGGCACCAAGAAGAAAACAAGCAACATTTGCAGTCAACAGGGATGATGCGAGGAGAATTAGATTATTTTGCATGTTGAACGATCCTTTAGTGATTGCATTGGTGGATATGGCAAAAATAGAAGCCAGGAAAGCAACTACAGTAGCTTGACATTGGATTAGAGCCATGTTACCTTTGGCTAAGGAAAGGGTTGATTTTAAATCTTTCATGTTGCCCAAGTTTGCTTGTGTTGATAATCGAGCAGCCATGGTCATTTCTAAGTTGCCCTTAAGACCTAAAAGTGATGGAACTAGGATGAAGAGTTCGCTAATTACTTTGAAAACGGGCCAATGTTGAACAATGTCAAGGATGAGACCAGCACCAACGTTACCAAACCCAGCTAAGGTAAATGCAATGCAAACCTGTAAGCTAGTCGAGAAGAGGGATTCAGATCTAGTTGAATCATTCGATTCGTCAATGGGTATTCCACAGTCTCCACATATTATGGTATTGGGTTCAACCAGGGACAAAATAGCGGTTTTGAGTCGAGCGGCCACTCGACTAGGTTGGTTTGTTCGAGCATCATTATTAACATGTAATAATGGAGCCTTTACCGTGGGAGAAGACATGGCTTTGTTAGATTGACCATAGAGGATAACAGAAATACTGAGGATTTGTTGAAGTAAACCATTGAATGGTTAGCAGACTACACTAGTAAACTAAAATAAACAAGCAATCAACACAAACTGCACAAGCAAACTGCACAAGAAAACAAGAGGAGTATTCCTCACGTGAACCCACTTTGCGTGAGCATAAATCCTGATCAAAGAGTAAAGGAGAAGAGGTTTCTCCAAAGAGTAAAGGAAGAAGAGAGAGCAATTCAATAGTAAGTCTGAACCAAAATTTTTTTTTGGTGTCAGAAGATGGCGCAAGAAAGAGACTCTTTCCTTTTACTTTCTTTACAAATTTTTTACTCTCTTTTTCTCTTTCTTTTCTCTTTCTTTTTTTAATTGAAAATTTAATTAATGCAATTGATATTAACTTTGGAAAAGGCTTTTTTGATTGTTTTTCAATGTTTTTAATGTTTTTTTAATTGATTTTGATGATTTTGATGCTTAGATTTCTTATAAGTGACAAATTCATGACGATTTAACAGAAAAAATGCCATTTCAACTAGTAAAGTCTGAATTGATCAAGCAAAAGTCTATCAAAACGTTTTCATAGTCATTGTGTTAAGGTTTCGGTAATATTTTGGTTACGATAAACTTTCCCTGCCAATAAATTCTGAATTTATTCTTTACAGCTGTTAGATTCATAATTTAATGGTAAATTCGTTAACCGATAGATATGTCCAACATTATACTAACGACAATTCATTCACCATTTGCTTTATGTGAAGGTGAATTCCCGTAAAATCAATGAATTCAGAATTTATTCGAGTTTATATTTATTTATTAGCAGAGTAACCAAAATAGTCCCAAACCTTAATTGATTGACTATGAAAACTTTTTGATAGACTTTTGCTTGATCAATTTAGATTTTGTTAGCTATAAAGACATTCTTCTGTCACAATCATCACAAATATATCATTAAATAAGAAATCATAGCATCAAAATCATTAAAATCAATTAAAATGACATTGAAAACATTGAAAAGTTGTCAAAAAAGCCTTTTCTAATGTTGACATTTATTGTTTTAATTTAATTTTTGATGATGAAAAGAAAGAGAAAAGAAAGAGAAAAAGAGAGTAAAAAATATGTAAAGAAAGTAAAAAGAAAGAGTCTCTTTCTCGCGCCATCTTCTGACACCAAAAAAAAATTTTGGTTCAGACTTTGTATTGAATTGCTGTCTCTTCTTCCTTTACTCTTTGGGTTTCTCTCAATACAATTTTGTGAAGCTTACAAAGTGGCTCTGGCGAGGGCGCTTTAAAGGTATTTTTAATAGATTAGATAAAAAATTAGATTAAAATTAAATTGAAAGAGATTGAAAAAGTGACTGATTTGAGCGCCTCTCGTTGAGGACCGCTAACTAAACTTCTCATTGAATCCTATGGAGAGCTATCTCTTCTTCTTTACTCTTTGATCCTGATCATAATCTGAAAAATGAAAAGTGCATAAAACAATCGATAGATGGCACTGCCTATTTGTGACGAACTGTAAAATTTACAGTGTAAATGACACTGAACCAGCCGGTATCCGTCGATCCCAATTCACATCGGCAATGATTACAAGTGCGGCTTATGAATCTTAATCACACATCCTTTGGTTTTTTTGTGGATACCAATTTTGTTTTTGTTTCTTCTTTAAATAGACGAAAATTGCTGAAAATTTTGCCCAAAAAATATGCCTCGATTATTCAGAGCTGTTGTCTGTGTATACACCATTTTGATCGATTTGTGCTGAAGCTCACGTCAATACTTTCTACAAGTACTTTTTTGTTTCTTCGTTGAATTTAATTTGGTGTCTCACAAGGAATTTGAGTCCTAGTAAGTTGATTATAATAAAATTACGTTCAATTTTTAATCTTGTTCTCTTCATTTTCCTAAATAGACGCAATCAACCCGGAAGATTTGTCATTTGCCTTGTCCAAGTTATGATAATCAACAGAAATAGATAAACATTCTTCCTTATTTGGGGCATCAACTTTCCATTGTAACTCCAATCTTTCAATTGTACAGAAGGTGCAATTAAATCAAGTCATAATTATCACCTTAATTGAAATTTTGATCTTCTAGCACTTTTTACTTGCTACCATCCTGATCACCTCCACCAGCACTAAACTATTCATCATCATTAGTAAAAATAATAAAATAATGATAATAAAAACATTAAGCAATAAAACCCAAACAACAATAAAAACATGCGATCAAGAATCATGTGAAATAGATTTGAAATGAAATAATTGTAAATAGACAATAATTATATCAATTTTATCAACAATATTGTTCATTAATAAACCTTGCTATAAACTTACAATCCACATTTATACACTATTGATGTTGATATTTTATTAATTAACTACTGAAATCTTGGTCAAGATACTGGTTTAGTGGGTAAACCAGTAATATCATCATTTGATGGACTGTAGTTAAGTTCATTACGCTTCTTCCCACAGCTTTTTGGTCGATTGATATTGAATATTTTTAGCCTTTAAATGGTTGATTAGTCGTCAATTTATTAATAAATTTTCCTCGACAATCATCAAAAAATTGCAATCATTTACATTCAAATAGCATTTTCATACGTAATTTCATTCAACGGGACAATTGTCTGTTTTATCATATGATATCATAAATTCATTCAACTTTGAGAGATAATCTGTAAATAATTAAAGATCATATTTACACCCAAATTGAGATCATCAACACGTGAAAACTGTTCAAAAGCTTGTATAACCGTAATTAGCCAAAATCATTGCTGATCAATTATGGACTGAGATTGAGTTGGGTTAGGAAAAAATGCAGTCTATTGGTAATTTAAAATTCTAGTTGTTTTTCAACAATCGGTCACAATTTAGGAGTTACGTGGGAACATATTAATTAAAGTTTAGCCCAACCGAGTCTAGAGCTGGTTCATTACGCATTAAAGGTTATTGAATCCATTGAAGTCTCTATATATGTTTATAACTTCAAAGGAGTCTGAAAGGTTGAAAAGTGCCCTGAAAAACAAATGGAAAGATGGAGGATGATTAATTGTATCAACCTTATCGGTCAACCTGGAACGGGGAATAACCTTTTCTTCATCTTTTCCCACTCTTATTTGCCATCATCAACATCACCGATCATAGAGAAATGGTTACTCTTATCTTCATCACTTTCCATCTCAACCTTGTTAACCTGAAGACCCTCTAGTTAAAGCTAAAATAAGGTTGACTGGCCATTAGCACACAAATTGACTGGACAAGCCCATCTTCAAACCGTCATCTTCTCGTCTCAACTTTAACTTGTTTAACCAGTAAAATATTGCCTTCTCTCTTCCACTCTTACTCATAATCCACTCACTCTCATCTTATAGAAATCACTTTCTCTCTCGAACTCAAAGTCTCATGTAAGCTTTTCTCTAATTCACAGAATCTTGAGACTTGAGAATTTTTAGTTCTAATTCTCGTTTCTTTTCAACTAACATTGTGATTCCCACTAATCAACATTATGATTATATTATTAATCAATTTGCTTCTTTTATGCTCAACAACTGTCCATTCTTACATTACTTGGATTGAAGCTCGAGTTCCTCTTCAGGTAAGCAAACTTATTATCCATTCATTGTTACCAGATTTTTGATTGTTCACAGCTGTCAATTTCCTTCATTTGATTAACTATTGAATTAAATTAAATTGTTGATTATGCAGCTAAAAGTAGCGTAAAAGACTCTTTGATTTAAACTTTGCAGACGATATGACAAAAGATCTTCTGCTTGTCTATTGACAGCTTATTGCCAAACTATCAGCTCTTATTTTTGATTATTTGTACAATTCAATTTACAGGGCAATCGACCAGCACCAGGAACACCATGGCCATTACCAAAACAGCTAAACCAAACAGAGAAAACACTCTTTTTAAATCCAATGGAGTTTTATTTCACTACAAATGGACGATTCTGTGATATTCTTGACGCATCTTTAACTCGCTATCGACCCATCATTTTTCAAGATTTCAACGTATCAACAGTTGGCTTCTCGGATAGACCTGAGTTACGATCATTAATGGTTAGAGTTGATAATCCTCAAGAGTGTGGCTATCCTCAATTGGGTGACGATGAATCGTACACACTGGTTATCCCAAAAAATTCAAGTCAAGCAATCCTACAAGCCAAGACAGTTTGGGGTGCTCTAAGAGGTTTGGAATCCTTTAGTCAACTGGTTTACCACGATGATGGATCAAATCAGTGTATTGTAAATGAAACTTTCATCGATGATTGGCCTGAATATCCATACAGAGGAATGATGATTGACACGGCTAGGCATTTCATACCCTTGAAGATATTGTTGCTCAATTTGGATGCCATGGCTTACAACAAGTTAAACGTTTTCCATTGGCATTTAGTTGATGATCAAGCTTTCCCTTTAGAGAGTAAAGTGTTTCCTGAATTAACATCATCGGGTGCTTATACCTCTAAACATGTTTATACACAAGAACAGGTACAATTGGTCATTGATTATGCTCGAATGAGAGGAATCAGAGTTTTACCAGAAATTGATTCACCAGGTCACACCAAAGTCTATGGTAAATCTCATCCTGAACTGTTGACTCCATGTTTTGTTGATGGTAAAAGTGGTGTTCCCAATCCTCCTCATCATTCGGATGCTGATATACTTAACCCAATGAGAAATGAAACTTTCCAGTTTATGCATCAACTGTTTGCTGAAATTAAGAGATTATTTAAAGATCAATTTATCCATTTGGGAATGGATGAAGTATATTATGCTTGTTGGACCTCTAATCCTGATATACAGGCTTTAATGATCGCAAATAACTGGACCAAAGTGAATCAAGTTGAGCAACATTATGTCCGACAAACATTGAAAAACATCAAAGATCTGCAATATAAAGTGATGATGTGGCAAGATCCAGTGGACAATGATGTTGAGGTCGGTTTCAATTATTTTTTCCGAAAGTTTTTTTAAAGGTAAAATGTATTCTAACAAATCTTTTGTTCAACAGCTTTCACCAGATTCAGTAGTTGAGATTTGGAAAGATTCTGAACTTGGGGAATTTGAAACTTGGGATAAATACGCAGCTCCAATCATTCGTAAAGGTTAGTTTACTGTGTTTCATGTTTAAAATGTTTTACACACAAATTAGGATTACAAATAGATTCAAAATTTCAAATTTTGGTTTATTTAGGTTATCGAGTTGTCATAGCTGCTTGTTGGTACCTAAATTATATAAACTATCCATATCCAGGACAATTTTGGGAGAAACATTATCAATGCAAACCCCGAGCATTCACAAGTAAGTTTGAGTCATTTTACTTTGAAGGCAAAGAATATGTTAAGAAAATGAATTAATTTTCGATACTTTAATCATGACGATTTTAACAGATGACGCCGATGAGAAGAAGCGAGTTATCGGTGGAGAAGCTTGTTTATGGAGTGAATTTGCTGATGGCACCAATATACTTTCACGAATATGGTAATTGTTACAAAATGTCTAGATTCTAATAGAGTATTTAATTTAATTTGTCTTCAATTTTGTTTTTGATCAATTATTAGGCCTCGAGCTGCTGCTGTAGCAGAAAGACTTTGGACTGATCCTGTTAATGATGACATTGATTCAACGAGATTTAGACTGGATGAGCAACGTTGCCGACTTTTACAAAGAGGTAAATGAATTTTGGGTCCATGATTAGATACATGAATTAATTGAATGTCAATTTGGTCTTTCACTTGTACTTTTAGGAATTCCTGCTTCACCTATTCTTCCTGGTCATTGTGGTAAACATGATTGGGGATTGGAAACTGTACCACCGATTTATCCCGGCGATAGACTGGCTCCTTGATAAACTCAAACCAAATCGATTGAGTCTGGTGATCAATAATTTTTTAAGCGACAAATCAAATTGTAAACCTTTTTTGTTCTCATAACCAAACAATTGGTGTCCGATTGTGTGATATTTTTTGACCTTTCTTTTTTTGGTTGCTCTTTCATGATTGTTGGTTTCTGAGGCCAACATAATTCCATGTCTAAATTAATAAAAAGAGGTTCTTTCAATAAATAATTTGGTTGTTCATTTGATGCTATTGCATGTAAAAAAGTGCATACAAGTTGAGACAAATGGTCAGCAACGGATAAAAATTTATTTCTTTCAAATTTAAACACTGAGTGTTTGTAGGAAAATAAAAACTGAATCTATTTGAATGATTAAAAAACTTCTATGATCAATGGTTTTCGAAGAAATCGAGTTCATAGTTGAAACTTTGATAGCTTTTTGTGCAATCATGGAACCAGATTTTTTCATAAAACTCATTTTCCTGATGTAACTATCAACAACAAACCATAAAATGCCCTTATTTTGAGACAAAAAATTTTCTGTTCGAAATAAAAAGAATAAGTTCGGTTTTGAGTTAAATCGATTGATTTCTGTGACCTTATGTGTTAGAGATCTGAAACTTATGATTCGTCCATGAAAATTATTAGCACACATCATGGATAAAATACTTTTCTTCGTTTATCGACAGTTCTCTTTATTTTGACCATTGACCTAAAAACTTTGGACCTCGATATTTTGAGATTGGCATCACCTACAACCATTATTCTTTGACCAAACATTAGACTATATTATGGGCTATGATATGAATAGGTTTTATACAATTCAAGAAACTGCTAGAAAAGTTATAACATTTTATTAATTAAGTTGTGCGGTTTAATAATTGATTAACATATGATGTGATATGTAGAAGAAAATTCACTATAAGATGAATTACCTCAGATTTCTTTGGTTTTCAGTCATCTTATGCTATAGCCCATAACAGCATCTAATGTTTGTTCAAAGAGAGATGATTGAGATTGGGCCATTCTCGAAATATCGAGGTTCAAAGATTTTAGGTTAGCGGCCAAAATCAAGAGAACTATTGACAAATTGAAAAAAAGTATTCATTGCATGTTGTGAAGAATTGATTTTTATAGGCGAAACATAAGTTTCGTATCCCTCACTCATACAGTTACAGAAGTAGATCGGTTTAAACAAAAATCGAACTGATCGGTTTTGCAAAAAAAATAGAATTAAATTGCTCAAAATAATTACATTTTCTGGTTGCTTATAAAAATTCACATAAGTTATAGTGAGTTTTATGATAAAATCTGCTTTCATTATTGTACAAAAGATGATCGAAGTTTCAAGTTTGATCTCGATTTTCTCAAAAACTATCGATCGGAGGAATTATTTAATTGCACCAATAGACTGAGTTTTCATGTCCCTACAAACCTTTATTAGTCTTAACTCGCAACTCAAATGTTCGAGCATTTCGCATCACTCTTTGCATTTCATTTGCAAACTTAACCAGAAAATTGGTTTATTTACCAAGAAATAGGTTGAAATGAGTTTAGTTTGTTAAATAAAGTGTTTCTTACCCATTTAAAACCCAAACCTCGACACCCAAACCCGCTTATGCAAATTTATTTAATTGAATAGTATTATTAATTAGTGAATGATCAAATTGGTCAAAGAATAATGGCTGTAGGTGATGCCAATCTCGAAATATTGAGGTCTAAAGTTTTCAGGTCAACGGCCAATATCAAGAGAACTATTGATAGATTGAGAAAAGTATTCATTGTATGTTGTGAAGAATTGATTTTTATAGACGAAACATAAGTTTCAGATCTCTAACTCATATGGTTACAGAAATAGATCGGTTTAACTTAAAATCGAACTGATCTGTTTTACAGTAAACTTGAAGTTTAATTTACCAATATAATTACATTTTCTGGTTGCTCATAAAAATTTGCATAAGTAATAATGAGTTATGTTAAAAAATATGCTTTCATTATTGTACAAAAGCAGATCGAAGTTTCAAGTTAGACCTCGATTTTCTCAAAAACTGTTCATGAGATGAATTATTTAATAGCACCAATGGATACAGGTTTCATGTCATTTCACAAAACAACCAAGTCTTAATCCTGCACTCAAATGTTCGCGTCTTTGGCGATACTCTTTGCATTTGATTTGTAAGTTTAACCAGAAAATTGGTTTATTTACCAAGATATTGGTTAATATGAGTTTGTTTTGTTGAATCAGTTGTTTCTCGCACACTTACAACCCAAATATCATGACCAGAATGTACTTATGGAAATTTATTGAATGGAATTGAATTCTTAGTTAGTAAACAATGAAATCGGTGAAAAGATGATGACTGTAAAGTCTAGCATTCTCGAAATATTCACAGTTACATCAACACATTTATGCAATAAAAATGGGCAAAAACGAGGTAAAAATCAATTTCTTTCAGGTTTAGACTCTATAAGTTTGTGCCGACAAAAAATCTGAATTCATTAGTGTGATTCAAAGGTTTGCCGCGATCGACAGTTTTTGAAAGAATCGAGTTCAAAGTTTAAACTTCGATCGCATTTTGTACAATAATGAAAGCAGATTTTCACAGAAAATTTATTATAACTTATATCAATTTTTATAAGCAACCAGAAAATGTAATTATATTGGTAAATTAAACTTCATGTTTACTGTAAAACAGATCAGTTCGATTTTAAGTTAAACCGATCTATTTCTGTAACCATATGAGTTAGAGATCTGAAACTTATGATTCGATTACAAAAATTAATGCTACACATCATAGATAGAGTACTTTAATCATTTTAGCGACAGTTCTCTTTATTTTGTACATTGACCTGAAAACTTTAGACCTCAATATTTCGAGATGGGCATCACCTACAACCATTACTCTTCGACCAATTTGATCATTCACTAATTGCTAATACTATTCAATTAAATAAATTTCCATTAGCGTGTTTTGGTGTCGATATTTGTGTTTTAAATGGACAAGAAACACCTTATTTAACAAACTAAACTCATTTCAACCTATTTCTTGGTAAATAAACCAATTTTCTGGTTAAGTTTGCAAATGAAATGCAAAGAGTGATGCGAAATGCTCGAACATTTGAGTTGCGAGTTAAAACTAATGAGGGTTTGTAGAGACATGAAAACCCAGTCCATTGGCGCTATCAAACAATTCCTCCGATCGATTGTTTCCGAGAAAATCGAGGTCAAACTTGAAACTTCGATCGGGTTTTGTTCAGCTATTGAAGCAGATTTTTTCATTAAATTCATTTTAACTTATGTTGATTTTTATAATCAACCAGAAAATGTAATTATTTTGAGCATTTAATTCTATTTTTTCTGTAAAACAGATCCGTTCGATTTCAAGTTAAACCGATCTATCTCTGTAACTACATGAGTCAAAGATCTGAAACTTATGTTTCGTCTATAAAAATCAATTCTTCACAACATACAATGAATTTTTTCCTCAATCTATCAATAGTTCTCTTGATATTGGCCGTTGACCTGAAAACTTTGGACCTCAATATTTCGAGAATGGTAGTACCTACAGTGTTCATTCTTGACCTAGCATTAGGTTTATTCATGGGCTAAAATAAAATAAATCTTAATTTATTAATAACGAATAG